TAGGAATTTGAATAGGCTACATGTCAGTTCTTTGAAATCGATCCTGAATTTGGACTTTTGGGGCTTTTCCTCAACACTTGATAGTTATCCTATATTGTACTCTTTATCATACATAGACACCAAAGTGTTGACTGGACCAGTTTAGGAGGGAATGAGATAGAGGTGGGAGGAAATTTCCAATTTCTCAATTATATACTTGCATGTCATTTGTAATTTTTATTAGTATGCATTCTTGATGAGATTTGAAAAAGTTTTTAAGTGATCCAATTCCCTGTTTTCTGCTTATGCAAAGGTTAGCCATTTTGCAATATTCATCCATCTATACATCCATTCATTTGTTCATTTCATTTATTGAATAAACATTTACCAAATGTTTTCTAGATGCCAGATAGTAGGTACTGTAGATATGCAGGAATTAGTAGCTTAGTGGTCAAACATGTGGGCAAACAACTAAAGAATGAGGTAAGCACTCTGCAGTTAAAAGGATTTAGATTAGACCCGGGAATACTGCCCCACTGGGTCCGGTGCCTCTGTGTGACTGAGGGTGGGGAGCTGGGGGTGAGAGGAGTTGAAGCATTTCTGAGTGACCTTGGGTTCTACAATCCTCTTATTTTATGAATGTTATGAGAAGCATGCCGGTACATGAAAGGTATAGGGATAATTTCTACCTGTTAATGTGGCTTGCAAGACCTAAATTTTATTCTAATCCTGGTTTTTCACAGTAAAGTGGTTGGTTGTCAGTTGCCAGAGGACTAGATTGAATCAGGTTGTCATTTCAATGCTTTTCTCTGTTGCATGTCTACAGGCTACATCCTCCTCAGTATCAGTCACTGCCATCCCATTGTACAAAAGGTACAATGGGTATGGGGGCCTGACTTGGTGCGGATTCATTATTTCTCTTCCAGAGTCTTTTAGAATGAAAACGCCGAGTAGCCCCTCTGACTACCTCACTGATGTAGAGTGAGTTGGAGGTACTCTCTACCCAAGGGCAGCCACATTGCTTTGTAGTATAAAGTAAAACGAGTGTTATCATAAGCTTGTGTTGTTTTTAGACCTAGAAAAAGAATTGGTAAGTGTATAGTTTTCTTCTTGCTTAAGCTTAAAACAAATTTTTTCATAAATTAAGTAATGAGTTATAAAAAGTAATTATTCTCAAGACTGTGTGGTTCATTAGCATGTGATATGCCTGTACCAGCCTTCTCTTCCTCAAATCCTGTGCTCCTGCCTGTTTAAACAATGAATGATTGCCCCCCCCACCCAGGCCCCAACTTCAGAACATTCAGGATAGTAATCCTTCCTGACACAGGGTGTCCTTCAATACCTTCTTTAAAATAAAAGCATGTTTAGAATGCCAGCTCTTCCCTTTCCCCCACTGCCCACCTTGGGCTGGGCAGGCTGGGCTGCTGCTTAAGACAATCTTAGGACAAAAGTGAGATGAAAATGCCACTTGGGAAGACACTAGTTTCCCCACTCGGCCAGTATAAATGTTGGCATTTACAGATTCTATACATTAAATAACAGTGTATATGCCATCAGTGAGTGACTTTTGACACATGAAAGAGTGCTTCATCAATAATAAGCTGTTACTCATACATAAGATATAATTTCATAAAAAAATAAAAGATGACTGATTTTGGAATTGATCTGTAATTAGAAGTCAGCTTCACTGGGAAAATGCATATCTTAAGCCCTTCACAGTGGCTGACCAGCCTAATTAAACTACTGAAATATAAAAGCAATTAGTTGGGAGCATTTGCAAAATGAATGAGTGTTAGTAATCTGTGTAGTTACAGAGACCTTGCCACTCAGCTCTAACTGCTTGGATGGGCTGATTTTATCAATGGTAGGTGAGGGGGCAGGATCAGAGACAATTTTCTGTAGTCCACAACTCCAATTTATTCTTGACTAAGACTTCTGTAGGGTCAGAGAATTTTTTATGACCATAGTTTCTGCATTGGGAAAAGAAATGCCATTTCTGCCCTCTCCCCTTTTGCAAACCAATGGAAAAACAACAAGGAGAATAATAAGCAGTAAACTTCCATCTTCATTGAAATTAAGAGACATTCATATCTGGACTCATAACTGTTTGAGAAAAGGCATTTAGATTAGTGAAAACTGTACCCATGTGAACACAGACTCAGAGAGAAGGCTGGGGGCTTCGATTTCATGGGCAGACTAGACACAGTGCAGAACTCTGTAAAATAGGTGTCACAGCTTTGGCTTAAAACAAGGGCAGGGTGCCTCAACTGACAGTAGCATGCTATAAGCACTCAGTGACCTCAGACAACTGAGAAAACACTAGGGAACACATAGACACACCATCTTAGAAGACTATGGGTGGGTGTGTGGAGGGTAAACTGGGGGTAGGGACAGGTGGGGAGGACAGTCCTTCAGCTTCTATGTTTGCTCAAGAAGAGTGAAGGCTTCATCATGTACCAGTGATTTCACTGAGAGCCTGCAGTATTTTATCTCATTTATGTAGAATTGCACACACACACACACACACACACACACACACACACACACACACTAGCAGAAAGAAAAGGATAGAACTGGAACTATATACATAATGACTTATAGGCATTTCTAAGGTATATTGTCAAGTGAAAAGAAATTAAAGGTAAGCCCTGTCTGGTATACCTCAGTGGATTGAGCGCAGGCCTATAAACTAAAGGATCGAGGTTCGATTCCCAGTCAGGGCACATGCCTGTTTGCAGGTCAGTTCCCAGCAGGGGATGCGTGAGAGGCAACCATACATTGATATTTCTCTCCCTCTCTCCTTCCCTTCCCCTCTAAAGATAAATAAATAAAATCTTACAAAAAGAAGAAATTAAAGGTAATATGTAAATAGACTCAGTCTGTTTATATAGAAACAACTAATCTCCCACATTCTTATATGTTTGCAGTAAGGTGCATATGCCAGTCAGTAAGCAATATTAATCTTAGGGGTGTGGCACTGGAAAGAGGTGGGATCAACAGGGTGAGGAGGAAGGGTTGTGTGTGTGTCTATACAGATAGTTCCAAACTTACAATTTTTTAACTTTACAATGGTGTGAAAGTGATATACATTCAGTAGAAACTGTACTTCAAATTTTGAATTTTTTTTTCCCGGGCTAGTGGTATGTGGTAAGATACTCTCTCTTGATACTGGGCAGTAACAGTGAGTTTTAGCTTGTGGTTAGCCACGGGATCTCAAGGGTAAACAACTGATATTTACTATGCACTGTGTTGCCAGCATTTTTAGTTACTGTGTTTTTTTTTTGTTTTTGCATCCATAATATCTACAAAATGCCCATCCGAGTCTCCTGCTATGGTGAGAAGGGGAAGGCAGTTACTCCTGAGTTTCAGCGGTAGGTTAACGTATGTGTTCTGAGAACAGTTAAGGTAGGCTAAGCTATGCTATGGTGATTGGTAGGTAGGTGTATTAAATGCATTTTGACTTGATATTTTCAACTTAGGATGAGTTTTCTGTAATGTAATTCCATCATAGATTGAGAAGCATCTGTAACATCATCATTTTTAAATGACAAACTGGTATTACTTTTTACAATTTGAAAGAGAAAAAATGATTAACAAAAAACAGGGCACTGCCAAGTAAAAAAACAGGGCAGTGCTAAGTAATATTGCTAAGTAAAACAGGAAACCAACAGTTACAGGAGGGAAACTGGGACTCAAATCAATGGTTTGGACCAGAAGGAAGAAATAAACATTCAACAGAACAGAATGAAGGAACAAGAATTCAAAAAAAAAAAAAATGAGGAGATGCTTAGGAGCCTCCAGAATTGGTACCCCAATCATAGGGGTACCAGAAGGAAAAGAGGAAGAGCGTGAAATTAAAAATTTATTGGAAAACATGATGGAGGAGAACTTCCCCAATCTGGCAAAGGAAATAGACTTCCAGGAAGTCCAGGAAGCTCAGAGAGTCCCAAAGAACTTGGACCCAAGAAGGAACACACCAAGGCACATCATCATTACATTAGCCAAGATTAAAATGAAGGAGAGAATCCTAGAAGCAGCAAGAGCTAAGGGGACAGTCACCTACAAAGGAGTTCCCATCAGACTGTTAGCAGATTTCTCAAAAGAAACCTTATAGGCAAGAGGGAGCTGGAAAGAAGTACTTCAAGTCATGAAAGGCAAGGACCTACATCCAAGATTGTTCTATCCAGCAAAGCTTTCATTTAAAATGGAAGGGCAGGTAAAGTGCTTCCCAGGTAAGGTCAAGTTCAAGGAGTTCATCATCACCAAGCTCTTATTCTATGAAATGTTAAAGGGACTTATCTAAGAAAAAGAGGATAAAAGCATGAACAGTAAAAAGACAGCAAACTCAGTTATTAAAAACCACACCTAAAATAAAAGCAAACTAAGCAAACAACTAGAACGAGAACAGAACCACAGAAAAGGAGATCACATGGAGGGTTAGCAACAGGGGAGTGGGAGGGGGAAGGAAGAGGAAAAGGTACAGAAAATAAGTAGCATAAATGGTAGGTATAAAATTGGACAGGGGGAAGTTAAGAATAGTATAAGAAATGTAGAAGCCAACGAACTTATATATATGACCCATGGATATGAACTAAAGGGGAGGAATGTGGGTGGGAGGGGGTATGCAGGGTGGAGGAAAATAAAGGGTGGGAATGGGACAACTGTAATAGCATAATAAATAAAATATAGTTTCAAAAAACAGGGCAGTAATTGTTTTTCTTGAAATAATAATTTTATAAAAGAGCTCAGAGAAGGGCTAAGAGCTCCAAGCATCCAAGGAATAGTAATGGTAACAGACTATGAAAATTAGTTTGTCAGAGAGGCACATTAGAAACTACAAAGAGATTCTCTTAGGAAGAGATTCTTAACAGAACAGAAAAATGCAAAGAATTAAAAAGAGAAAAAAAAGGAGAGAAATATAATAATGACAGCAGACAAAGGAGAATCAAAACACGAATAATTGGCCTCCCTGACACACTAAGCCAAAGGCTTTTATGAAGGCTGACACCAGAACATAAGAATAGAGGGAAATGAAATATATGTTTTATTTTATATGTTTTATGTTTTCATAAAAGAAATTCTATATATAAAAAGGGCACATTGAATTCCAAGAAAAATGTGATACAAAGATCAATAATTAGAAATATCCTGGTATGTTCTACTTTAGACATAAAGAGTTCTTTGGACATTTAGATTGCTCCTTCATCACCACCATCACCACCACAACAGTACAAAAGAAAGTCAACTATTTATACACAGATTTTAAAAACTTACTCTTGTACATGAACAAAAAGGAAACATAAATCACTGAAGGTATTTCAAAACCTTTTTCACATTCTTTTGTGTGTGTGTGTATGTGTGTGTGAATTCAATCATTAGTGTTTGTATTTTCTCACATAAAGTGGTCTTTATGGTATGAAGACCATTAGTAATAAGCACTTCATTAAAGAGCACCCATCATTGTCTCTGGAACTTTCTTCTCAGACAGAAGTCTTAGAACCCATTGAAGAAGCACGTTTGATGCTGATGATTTACTGGTCAGTAGAATGTTTTCAGATCTCAGCCAGGACTTACATTTCTTCCTCAAATGATCCTTTTGTGGTTTTTTTTGACTGAAGTGTAGTATCATTTTCCAGTCCTGTTACTAAGAATGTAACTAAATTTGCATGTGAATGAGCTTACAGTTATTCCCTATAACAGGTTGACTCTTTGAAGGGAGTCGTGTATATTATGCACCCATGTGGTCTATCATATTATTTCTTAAAAATATTCACTATCTCTCCCTATGACAGGATAATTCACTTATGGCCATTTTCATCAAGTTTGTCCTGTGATTAGTTCTGGATAATAGACTGTAGTAAAAGTGGAAGGTGTCACTTCCCAGCAGAAATTTGAAGAGCCATCATGTGGTCCCCACCTTTCTTCTTCTTTTTCTCATAAGACCAACATTCCCCACATAGGGCCTGCTCCTCTAGCCAGGGTCTTGGAAATGAAAACAACATAGAGTACAGCCAGAATTGACCCCAATAAACTTATGTGAATTAAAACAAAGTTGTAAGCCACCAAGATTTTTGGCTTATTTGTTACTGCAGACCAGTTTAGCTTAAACTTACTGATATAATCCCCTAAACACATGGAATTTAACTTAGTTTTAGAACGGTCTAAGTGCTCCCCTGAAGGACACTTGATTTCTGCAAGACTTCCTCAGGGCAAGCAATGAGTAGGTGACTCATGATTGGTCCTCCTCCATGTGAGATTCATGTTCAGGCTATTTCAGTTCAGCCAGGGTGAATGCAAAATGATCTCACCTGAGTTGCTGAGATGTTTTTAAACCAAGCCACTCTGGACTACTTTGAGACTTGAACCAAGTGGTGTGGCTGAGTCATAGCACAATTTTTGTGAGCTGTCATTGATACCTGTATTTTGGTTAAATGTCCTGAAATTCTACATTTTTGGGACTGGAGTCAACATGTTACTTCAGGATGCCATAGAAATTCTCAGTGCTGAAGGGGCTGGGGAAGGGAAGATTTTGTAGATCTGAAGGAAGATGCTGTAGAGTCAAAGGGTTCACTCCTGTTTTTCTTCTTTCCACTTAACACTGATTCTGTGATAGAAGTAAGAATAGTTTTTATTTTCGCTCCGAAGTAGAAAATTCAGCACCTGTGCTTAGAATTCTGTTGGAGAAGTGACTGAACTCAAAATGCATTAGGGATCCAACTGCAGTTCAGTGTTGATGGACTCAACAATTGGCAGCAGTTCTTCAGAGAATACAGGCTGTGGTTTCCTCCTGGGATGACCCTGCCAGGGCCATTGGCAACAGTGCTAATGGAAAGTGGAATGAGACAGTTAGTTGAGCCTTAGAAGACAAAAAGAATAGATATACAGAAGTGAGAACAGAGGCCCCAGAGAATTAACTTTGAATCTTAATTCCTATATGGCCTCAAGGACTTCTCGTATTTCCTCCAGAATAAACAAAGAAAGGATCAAATCAATCCTTGTAGAACACTTGCATATTAAAAAGGACAGATGGGTGAGCACATTAATCTTGTAAATAGAAACTATATAGGGTGGGGATGGCTGGCTTGGGTCACTGGTGTCCCCTCATCCATTCTGCCCAGGACCATGTTGTCAGGACACCCTGCATTGCTTGATCTTCAAAGGGAGGCAGTATCTAGTAATTAATACTTGGGTATTAGTTAAGGGCATGGGTTCTGTAGCAGAAAGACCAATTTTTCTTGGGTCCTCCTGTCTTGATCGTGCACGTACTCATTCTGCTTAAGTAAGTGACAGCTTCTCCAAGCCCTGATTCTGTCCAATGCTTAACCAACCAAGAGTGCCTAACTTAAACAGTGGCTTCAAAGTTCAAGTGAGCTAATTCATACACAGTGCCTAGAACACAGCTGGGGGCATATAAAATGCTTGAGCAGCACTGGCTAGTATATGGTTCCCAGTCCTAGCTGAGAAGAGCCAAAGAATTGCCACACACATTCTTACATTTAAATGAAGATTTATAAAGTTATAAAAACAAGTGGATGGGGTCTTCAATGGATATAAAAAAATTATAATCAAGAATACAGTACCTGTTCAGTAGACTCTGGCAACAAGATACTACATCAATGGTGTTTCTAGGTAAACTGGAGTTGAAGACATTCTCTAAAATGTGATGGCAGTTGACATCCACAGGAGTGCCAGAGAGAATGCCTGGGAGTGGAACAGAATGCCTTTCAGTACATTAATTACTGAAGTCCCTGAACTCTCCTCTGTTCTTAGCTTCACCAGCATGCTTCACACATTTCACTTTACAACATGCTTGAAGGCAGCACTGCCTCTCAGCTTTCTGTAGCAGCAGATGCTGGGTATGCACGTGGGAGGAACTGCCCCTGAAAGCTGCCTTCCTGTGAGGGAGACAGGATGCAAAGGAGGGGATGCGTTACCTGCGATGCAGGCTGTCAGGAAGCAGGCTACGGTCCCTGAAATCAGAGCTCTCACTGCCCCTGAGATGATGTCACTCTTTCTGGAAGGAGCCATGGATGCTGGGAAACAGGAAAGCAAGCATGAGAGGTTAATGTCAAGGTTATTGATTAGAATTCCAAACTCTCAACCTCTGAGAATTATTCTGGGGCTGGGGAGTCAAGTTAACTAACTTAAAAAAAAAAAGCTTAGTAGGAATCTTTTTTTTTTTTTTTAAGTGAGGATTTTAATTCAAGATCTAAGAGCTTAGTGATGAGCTCCACATCTGGAGAAGTTCTCTGATGTGTAAGGAAGGGAAGAAGTTTGTCCAAAGAAAAAAGTCCCCAGTTTCATCCAGAAGGCTCCTGGGTATATTGGGGGCATGGCAAGACAAATGGTGTGGCAAGAATGGATTCCAAATATTTGTAGCCCATTCATCAGCATCTACTTCTATGCCCATGGCAGACACACAATTTAATATCAGCATTTTCCCACTGAACCTCAGAATCCTTCTCCAGGGAGCCATTATAAATCCCTGGGAACTGGCATGCAAAATGAAACATAGGTGTGATCTCTGGGTAGAAAAGCACCTGTGCATTGGAGCAAATTCATGCTCAGGTTGCTTTGGTATATATATAGGGAAACTTTTGGGTTGGCCAAAAAGTTTGGTTTTTTCCCCTGTATGATGGCTCTAGTAGTGCTTAGTTGTCTTTAACTCCTTTGTTAGATTGTATTGTGACAGCTGTCAAATCAGCACACATTTAAAAAAAACCTCTTATCAAAATTGGTAAATTTTTGTATAGCCATTTTAATATTGAAGATGGAAGAAAATAAGCAACATTTTTGGTATAGTATGCTTGATTATTTCAAGAAAGGTAAAAACTCAGCTGAAGTGCAAAAAAGATTTGTGCAGTATGTGGAGAAGGTGCCGTGACTGATAGAACATGTCAAAAGTGGTTTGTGAGGTTTTGCGCTGTAAATTTCTTGTTGGATGATTCTCCACGTTTGGGTAGACCAGTTGAAGTGGATAGTGATCAAATCAAGACATTAATTGAGAACAATCAAGGTTATACCATATGGGAACTAGCCAGCATACTAAAAATATTCAAACCAATAAAGTTACTGGTGAACATGAAAAACGTGTTATTTATTTTATTGAAAGAACTAAACAGACTTTTTGGCCAACCTAATGCATTGCAGAGCAGGGACAAAAAGTAGACCCCAAAGCATTTATTGTTCTTGCAGGGCATTTTCCCCTGCTGACGGGAATAATGTTACAGAGCAAGATGGAGATCAAAATGGACAACATCACATCTGGTGTTGAAGAATATCCTTTCCACTTACTGAGTGCGCCAATCACTATTCCTAGGGAACTGATATTAGCAAAGCCACAGAGAGCATACGTGGCAATTGTCTCTGAGCGAATCTGTAAACAAAAATAAACACACAAATGTATATACATGGTGTGACCCAGCTTATAAATTTGACATCCTAACCAGGCCTCTTATTGTTACTACAGAAACAGTATTGACATGTAAATGTACAGTGCATGGTGTCCAAGACTTGTTGCTTTCTAGGCTTTTTTTCCCAACTCCCCCTGAATTTTGAGGGAGGGAAAGGGGCTGTGTGGATTCAGAGATGCTCTACAAAGGACTTGGAGCTGGTTGTCTTGGTCTCTCTACAGGTTGCTCCTTTGGGCTCAATGGCAACTTCAAACATTCAATACGACCTTGTCACCTGTTATAATGTGCCAGGCCCTGTGCTAGCTGCTGAAGATACAAATTGGTCCCAGAAAAGATTTATATGACATTTATTTGACAAAGAACTTATTCGAGATGTACGAAGAACTAGAATAACTCATTGGTAAGAAGACAAGCACCCAATTAAAACAGATAAAGAGATTTCATAAAAGATACGTAAATGGCCAATAAGCACATTGGGAGGCTGTTTGACATCATTACTCACCGGGATATGCAAATAAAAACAATGAGATATCACTACACATCCATTTAAATGGCTAAAAAAGACAGACATTAGCAAGCACTGGCGAGGGTCTGGAGCAATTGGAACTCTCGTACATTGTTGGTGGGAACCTAAGCTGACTTAGCCTGTTTGTAAAATACCAACATACTTGGCAGTTTCTTATCAAGTTAACATACACTGCATGTATGACCCAGCAATCCCTCTTCTAGGAATTTTCCCAGAATAAATAAATACATATACCCACAAGAAAATTATACATGAGTATTTATTCACAGTAGCCCCAAGCTGGAAACAACCGAAATGTCCTTCAACAGGCAAATGGACAAACAAATTGTGCAAATCCATAAAAGAGAATACTATTCTGCAATAAAGAAGGAAAATAACTAGTATATGCAACAACATGAATGCTAAGTAATGCATTGATATGACATGTTAGAATAAACAAAAGTAATCTATAGTGAAAGAAAAACCATTGGCTTCCTGGGACTGGGGAGGAGGGCTGTTGCCTGCGATGGGGCGCAAGTGAAATTTTCTAGGTGTGAAGGAAATGTTCTGTATCAACGTGGTCATGGTCACACAGGTGACACATTTGTCAAAACTCATGTACACTGAAGAAAGGCCCTTTTTTTGTCTGCAAAGTATATTTTGGTAAAAAGAATATACATTAAAACAAGTTATAGAGTAAAAAAGAAGCTTACAGCTACCACGGGAGGTCCTTTCAGCATGGCTGCGATGTGAGCTTGTCTTTGTTCCTCAGCTCTGACTGTCCCACGGGAGTGTTAGGTGCCCACTTGGCAGTGGGAAAATTCAGTCCTCACAGGGCAGTGAGGTGATGGAAGGTGAATTTGTACAACCATGAACGTGGCCTTCTGCCTCTATTCAGGTAGTGAGGAGGTGCTGCTCAGGCCCAGTGATTCTCAGGCTGAGGGACTGATTATAGGAGGCTCAGAAAATTCAGTGGACTTGGCTGTTCACCAGAGGCACACCCAGTCTGTTAAATGCACCCACACAACTGAGGTAATAATATTCTTTTCCAAAATCCTGAATAATCTATGAATTGGTTCACAGAACAAACCATGCCATTGCTACATTCAAAGTACGGGTGCCTTTTTTTTTTCTGTTTTCTTTGACTGGATTTTTGTAAAAGCTCACATTTAAGGCTCAAGTGGTCATGGTAAGTTTTTGTTGATTATAAGGCCCTTCCTCATTTTCATGGTTTCTGAGAACTCCTTTGTTGACTTTCAATCAGTGTGTATATAGCAGGCAGGAAAAAAATATGTCAAGTATTTCAGCAGCCCAATGTTTCTGGAAAAGCTCATTCTCATCCTGTGCTTTCTCTACTGCTTTTCATTTAGTGGACCAGCTTCAGAAACAGGCAAGTCTATTAAGAGACCATGGGGAGGGAGATGACATCAAGCACTTGAGAGTCCTCTTTCCCCTTTCTGGGGAATTATGTGGAGGAGATACACAGATGTGGCCATGAAGGACTTTATAATTAGAGGAAAAGGAGGCTGGGATGATTACCCTTTGCCTTTTCCCATCAATGTGCAAGATTACATGACGGAATGAACTGCACTGTATTTGAAAATTGAGAATAGGTCCTATGGCTCTTCTTGCACATGAGCAGTGATGCCGTAGGAATAAGGACAGTCACTGTAGCACTGCTTCTGACAGCAAAAAATTGGTCATAATGTTCATCAGCAAGGAACTGGTTAAGATGAATTATGGTGTGCTTGTACAATAGACTACTATGACACAGATATTGATATTGAAAGGCATCTGAAATATGTCATTAAGTGCAATCAACAAGGTTAAGAATGGAGAGGCTAATAGAGAAGCTATAGAGAGAGGGGATGGGGATAGGGAGGATAACTTACTTTTCCCTCTACATCTGTTAGTGCTTTTGAGTTCTGTACCATGGTATGTACTACATGTAAACAAACATGCATGGTATTATGGTTAAGGAAGAGAACATGGTGGAGCAGTCAAGAGCTCATTCTAGGTATATGGGTGCTACATACATGTTCTGACCTCTTAAAAAGAGGTCAGCAGTAGGCATAATTCCATGCATTACATTGGGTTTTTGCCTCATGAACCCAGATTGTACACTGCAGTTACATGGTACCCTTCCTAGGAGACCGTTGGGCCACTCTCACCACTTCTTAGTTGGTAAACAAGAAATTGCGGGGACTCATTCCCATTTTGTTGATTGGAAATGAGATCGGAAAAATAAAAAAAATGCTTTTCCCATTATGACAAAACACTTATAGAAGACATTGAGCTCATAGTTCCAAATGTCTTCTGTGCACCTGCCTCTGGTTGGCTCATCCCCAACCCAAATCAGCCCTACTGTTCTTTTCTCCATCCTCTTAATAGCCTGTTCACAAAACCTGCTTTGCATCACCAGAACTGGGAGTGTACTCTGCCCATTAACAAAACCACTTTCTCCTGGCAGCCAGCAGCTGGGGATGAAAAACATTTCACTTAATCTAGGCTATTTTTTACTTTTGGCAGGGAAGCTAGCTGGTTAGTGGTGGCATCTAAACAATGAGGATATTGGGCCAAACTCCACTGTGCTGTCAGTTGAAGAATGAACATTTGAGAAGAGGAGACCTAGAGAACCACTGCTCATATCAGCCCCTGACCATAAAATACAAATCAGTACTCTCCTGGAGTTTGCTGTTACATGTGTGTAATATGTGGCAGTAAATTTGCATGTTTGGTCTTTGGGAGGCTGGGAGAGATGGTAGTGTTCAGAGGTGGGCAGTCGGTCTCCATTAGAACCTTGGGCAGCATGGTTTTCCTCCCTCTTCCTTTTAAAGCCTAACACATACCTAGGACATTAATTCCAATTGGATTGTTTCAATGAGTAATGGTCAGAAATGTTCATCATTTCCCTGAGAGCATTCATGTGTGACAATTCTGTTCTTCAGAGAAGTAAAAGTCAGGGACTCAACTGCAAATACAGACTGAATAATGGCCTCACCTGTGCTCTCTTATCCCATCTAGGCGCAAGTGGACATGGGCATTTCCTTGCAGTCTAGTGATCTGAAGTCCTGTCATAGTTTTGGGGTGCTTGTCTCAGAGGCTCACCCACAAACCCTTACTTGCTCTTCTCTCATCCACTTGGAGAGTGGAGTGGCGACTATGTCTCACTATTTCTTTAGGATGTCCAGGCACTATGTTGCATTTAAGTGGTTTCTCAGAGTTCATAAAATTGCTGAAGCTGGAAGGAAGAGGCCTGCATGGTCATTAGACTATGAGACCCATTCGGGCTCAAAAGTAATCCTCACCACAATGGTAAGGATTAGTTGTGTTTCTCTTTATGTATGTGCATGTGTACACACACACACAAACTGATTAATTCAACATAACTGAAAAGTATGAGGTGCCAAGTATACTATGAGCTCTATGCGACCAGGGATTTGGGTCTGGTTTGTTCTCTGGTGTATCCCGTGACTATCCTGCTGCCTGACTCGCGGAGACACCAGTAACTATCTGACGAATGTGTGTATGTGATGAAAACGTGTACTGACAATCAAAATACTTACTCACCGATATATATTGCTGCACACCATTCACAAACTTGGGTCCAGCCTCTTTCCTTAAATTGATCATTTTGGAGAGTTGCTCATAAGCTACAAATTCATTGAAGAATGTCTTATAACCTAAGAGTTTGGCGACCATAAAGCTGTCCTGCCAGTCCACTCCCATCATGAAGGAGAAGGGCATAAAGATGTAGGAGCATATTATCTACAAAAAAGCAAAAATAGATACTTTATTAGAGTAGGGATTAGCTTCTGTCTGATCCTTGCACTAAGACTGTCCTTGCCCTTTCTGCATTTCTAAAAGGTGTAGAAATCCCTTCACACACTCTTGCCTAATGGAATCAAGGTTGGAATTGGTCATTTGAAATAATCTGGATTCTTGGGTAGGGGTCAGGAGAGAATGACTGAGTATTGGGAGGAGGAGGGTGATAAGGGACAGAGAAGGAAGTGGGAAGATGGGGGCTACATAGTCAGTGTGCACACTGGGTGAGAGTGCGTTAGGGAAGGCTGTTCACAAACCTATTTCATTTTGAATCAAAGACAGGCAGAAGTAAAATGGAGGAGAAACATGGTAGAATTATACCTCGAAACTCAGTTGTGGGTAGTCCAACATGTTTCCAAACCAGGACAGGGCTGAGTTCACAAAAGACAGCAGGGCTATAAAGGCAATCAGATTCACGGCGATGTTCGCCACCAGGGAGATGGATGAGGAGGCTCCCTGTGTTGCGGCTTCTAAGAGATTCCTTGACTGACTTTATCAAAAAAGAGCAACCTTAGAATTAGCAAGGAGTTTTCAGCAGAAGGATACCACATGTATGGAAATGGACAATTCAGAGGTCACCTGGAGGGAGAGATCAACTCTCAGCCCCTTGCCTGAGTCAAAATACTCACCGGAATTCTATGAAATAGTGATTGGCATTTGTAATTGTTGAATGTAGGTGACGGGTATCTGTTATACAGGTACTACTCTTTTAATACGGGGTCATTTATAATTGAAAAATTAGAAAAAGAAAAGTATATTATATTTAATTAAAAATAGCTATCAGAGAATACTTATACACTATCCACAGTATAAGAATGAACAATTCAAGAAAGGTCTGAATAACCTCATTTCAGAAACAGGACGTCACCATCACCTTTGAGTCGCAGCCTGTGCCCCTCAGCACTCTTTCTTAGCCTCATCCTCTTCTCTTGAATCTCAAAAGTGCCTGGTTGCCTTAAAATGTGCTTATATTCCCTTTCTTTTCAATTTCCCTGCTTGTCTGAATCCCTAAATAATATGTTACATAGATTTGCGCATTTGCTAACTTCATAAGTGGAATCACCATATTTTATATATACAGCCGACCACCTGCTTTTCACTCATGGTTAGGACTTTACCTACATACAAACAAGGGATGAACCCAGAAACATGTTGGTTGATTAATTCTGTGATTTCATGAAACACTTCTGACCATCCCAAATCCCTTCGTCTTTCCTACCCTTTTTTCTTTTGCGCAGAGCCAAAGAAAATGAACCAATGAGGGGCGAAGGATAGTTATCTCACCATCTCGTCCTTATTATGTGAGAAACTTCTAGAAATGGTTATCCCATGACTTTCCAGTGGTCTTAAACCAAACCTCAGTGCACACTGTACTATATTCAAGGTGAAATGTCTACATTTACCAGTCAAGGAAATGTATTGACATTAAGGTAATCAGAAAGGTTTTCCTTCAGTGTTGAAATAAGATTTTTCTGGGGGAAGTCTGAATAGTCGCTGGGAAATTAAGTCCAGCTTACCGCCATAACTCACTGTGCTGATTAACACATTTTTGCTATACTCCGCCCTCTGACCTGTGTCATCATTAACTAGATGAACATGTTTGCCTTACCCATTTTCCATAAGTGAACGTGAACACTTACGTATTTTCCATTTTCATGGCATTCTTGAGGGTTACTTTAGGTGTTTCTGTCTCAGGCCAAAAGAGTTTGGCAACAGCCAGTGATGCAGGTGCTGACATAACTGAAGCTGTTAACAAGTGGGTGGATGAAACCTGCAATTTCAGGGGAAAAATGCCAAATTAGGTAGTGCTTTTCTGCTGTGTTAAGAATGAATGACTAACAAGGGAAAAGATGGGCAGGAATCACTTTTGTGCCAGAAAACAATGTTTCTTTGGAGGCTTGGAAGAGCTCACTTAGCCAAGTCAGCATTGACTTGAGAGTCAGAGGAACAAGGGAGAAATCTGGGTTAATCAATCACATCTTTGGGGAGAAGCACAGAACTAGTTAGACTGTTTTGGAAGAGCACACTATTCTTGTGCTGTAGGAACTTTCAGAGAAGACTCTTCTACCTCTTTGCTGTCCTTTTGAATGTTCACATAGTCCCTAACATCCACACTTAATTATGTCATCAACTTAGGGGACATCTGGGGGGTGCAGGAATGAACACACCCCTCTCCACGTTTCTTCTGCTCTCCTAAAATCGTTCGTGTCTTTACATTATATTAATTTACCCAGAGTCCCTTTAATCTGTAAGCTATTTCTGTTTTCCACATTGCCTGTCTTCAACTCTTTCCCTCCCCCTAACACCCTTATTGTTTCTGGATTCTCATCTGCTATAGTTTCAGAATTTCTAGATTTAGCGCCTCTCTCCCTACTCCCATCTGGGGATCTGCTCTTCCTGAAATCTCCTCACCCCTTTTTTTCTGCCCTGTTTTTACTGATTGGCTTTCTGAGGCCCAGATGAAGTACTGGAATAAAAAATGCCTATCTTGGAAGAATTCCTAATCACTGTGCCACTGTGCTGTCCCATTTCTTCACTGGTGGTTGCATCTGTGTGCAGCTTGTAAGCTCTGTGCTCAGGGCAAACGCACGAGTATCACAACATTCTCCAGTCCGATACCACAGGCCACCAGCTCTCACTCTGGGCTGTACATTGGAATCTGGGGAGTGTTTTTTCTGTTTCTTTTTATTGTTCGAGTACAGTTGTCTCCATTTTCCCGCCACCACTTTCCTCCTCTCCATCCACTCCCAAAAACTCTGGGGAGTTTTTAAAAATATATATTATGCCCTGGTCTCATTGCATGAGACTCTGGCTTAATTATTCTGGGTTACGAGCTTGGGCACCAGGGCGTCTAAAAGCTCCCAGGTGATTCTAATGTGCAGTAAGGTTTGAGAACCACTGCTCTAGGCCAGGGGTTGAACAGCATTTTCTATAAAGGGTGAGGGAGAAAATACTTTTGACTTTAGAGGACACAACTGTTCAACTCTGTAGCACAAAAGCTGCAATGGAGAAACAAATGAAAGTAGCTGGTTTCCAATAAAACGTCAATTGCCAAAAAAGGGAGCGATTTAGATTTGGCCCATGGGCCCACGTTTGCAGACCCAGTCAAGGTTGCCCTTACTAATGTCAGTAACAGTTCTATTTATTTATTTTTATCAAATTTATATTTCCAGCTAAAGTAACCTCATAATATAACTTCAGTTCTGTTATGGTTTGGATATAATTCACACTTAGGTGGCATGGCTATGAAAGTGAAGCTACCAAAATGTCACTCCATTCAAATGCCAAAGAAACTGTGATCAACGATACAGCAAAAAGGACGCTCTTTTGGCCTCCTTGTCCAGTAGCAGTAGGGGAAAAAAAGGATACAGTAATAGAAAAGAAAGAAGAGGTTGTATTTTTCAGACATTAATCCTCATTCTTACCCCGAAAGAGATGTATGCGCCTAACACACTTCCGGCAATGGTGGCAAACCCAGCTGTCATAATTGCGTGGAGTTCAGACTTGGTGACATATGGTAAGTAAGGCCGGACCAGCAGTGGAGACTCCGACTGGAAACAAAGAGTGACCCGATTAAATGTTCCCTTTTAAATTTTGAAAGTTTATGATGATTTACTGAAATTTCCATTCTCAAAATGCAATATTTCTAAGAGTGGACCTCAGACCAGCTCTGTCAGCATCACCTGGGAACTCCGTAGACATGCAAGTCCTCAGGCTTACCGAATCAGAAACTATGGGGGGCAGGGACCCCCTATGGGGGGCCAGCAACCTGTTTTAACCAGCCCTCCAGGTGGTAGTGATGCATGCTCAAGTTTGAGGACCCCCACCATAGATGTCTGGGTCACTTGAACTCTAGATCAGTGCACTTATGGTATAGAGTCATGTGTTAGGTTTGCAAAGTTTGCAAGGCTAATGCACATAAGGCTCTCCACCCGGCCCAAGATTGGATTTGGATGACTGCCTACACTTTTCTAAGGTTGGGAACATCACTGGCCAAGTAACTTCACCCAGTGGCCTAGCCTTGTGAATTGTCATTCCCAAGCCTCTGTGACTTCCTATCTTCCAGCTTCATTTGACAGACCCTAAATCTCTTTGTTGAAACCCCAGGGAAATAGAGACACAAGTCTAAAAAATTAGCAGCAACAACAAGGACAGGGGCCTACAGGCCCTTTTCACATGGAGACAAAGACCCCCTCTTCCTCTTGGGTGGAAAGGAATGGAGAGGATGTAGTTGTAAAGGCTTGAGTCCCATTAAGGAGGGCTGGCTTCCTCAGCATGGGGTTCTCCATAAATAATAGCTGTAGTTTGAACATATTAAGTATCACATTGAACACCACAGAAGCATGTGTGCAATTTCACAATTTTCCCTCATTATTTCTAATTGTTCTATAAGATTGAATGTGTTGAGCTTCAATTGATGGTCTAAATTGAAACTCAGTACATGAGTTCTCTTACCCCACAGGTAGGAGTAATCAACTCAAGATGGTGCCCTAATTAGTTCTAAGAGATTTTATAACTATAATTATAATCATTTCAACTCCCAGGGAAAGATTATGGGCTCCTCACTAAAGACTATGCTCCAGGCTGGCAAGCTGGGCTTACCAATAAGAAGGCCTGGCTTTCCTAGTGCAGCTGTGAGCTTAGGATTTGAGGCCATGAGTTTTTCTGGCTGACCTGTTTTTTTGCTTCAGATCCAATTTCCTTGGGCAGCAAAGATAGCAAGCATTCATACTTGGTTTCTGTGGTGCATGGTGCCATTCTTCCTGAAGTTACATATCCTGAACTATAAGGCTGATCATTACTATTTCTTACTTATCAACCTCTGAGGAATGCTGCTGTTTTAAGAGATAAAACTTGGCATCTTTTTTTTTTTTCCTTAAATGGACTTTAGGCAAAAGAACATTTATCCATGTGATGTGTCAGGGAGATAAAAATGCTTTTGTTCATCATCATTTTTCTTCAGGTTCAGCAAAGACAGACTGTTGGCCAGTTCAGAAAAATGAGAACGAGCTTGAGTATTCATACAGATGCATGGTTGTTGGTCGAGAGCCTTTCTTAGACTCTGTCATTACGATGAGCATTATACTACAGAACGTGAAGCTGCCTGTGCGTGTTTGCAGTTTCAAGATAAATAGTGAACTCCATTTAGGTGGACGAGCTGCTAGCCTCTGAAGGGTGAGCCAGAAACCTCAACAGTTCAATGAGTTTAGAAAAGATTTATTGCGAATCTATACATGAGAAGTCCAATGTTTTCATAAAGTGATTCAATCTTTCTTCCTGTCCATAACTTTCAAGAACTTAAGTCCTGCATTAGTGCACCAAGACTCTCGGAAAGTGTCTTAATTTCAGTCTCTCTCTCTTTTGCTTTCACTTTTTTTCCTTTCTTTGGAATCCTGGACATTGTCAGTATGGAACATTCCTTATTTTGACACACTTATACTAAAAGAAATAACATAGCCATTTTTAAATTCCACTTCCTGGGAAGAATATCCATTTGAGCAGATGTTTTGTTTTAGTTTTTAATATTACAACATACCTGTCCAATGAATATATTGCCAGCAGCAACTACAGATTCAACAGGAGATGATCCCATAGTAACTAGCATTATCCATCCAACCTAAACAGGAAAGGTCAATGAATAACTATGTATACATACACAAAACTTCAAAGTAGGGATACAAGCCTTCTAACAGGAGGAAAGCATTGCAACCTTCAACAATTGCCAACAGGCAGTGATGGTGCTACACGTGGGTATATCATATCTAGTCCACAGAATAGGCTGATCAGATCCTCCCATCTGAGTTGTATGTCTCTGTTACCATAGGTATTTTGAACATTACACAAATGAATTTCTGTTGAAATATTATAAACAATCATACAGGCTATGCTGTGTTCCAAGCACTGGGTCAAGCCCGAGTAATGCATTTGATCCTTTTAATAACACTTTGCAGGAGGCCTTATGATTATGCCCATTTTATAGAAGAGGAAACTGAGGCACAGAATAGTTTAGTTGTTTTGTCAAAGATCATGCAACTATTAAGTAGTGCCATGTAGTTGAGATTTGGCCTTTTCTACTTAAGTGAGCATAGCTTATGGTCCCACTTTTGTACTGGTCCTTCCAACCAGAGCCTGTGGGGCCCACCGCAGGATGAAGACTTCCAATTGCACTTTCTGTGTAGACATGAGCACAGTAATTCTGAATATTTAAATTGACAATCAGATCATTAAGGGCCCTGGCATTCTTGTGGGAACTCTGAATTCTGCTGGCATTCTGATTCTCTCTTTCTTGCTCTATTTTGTTTACTTATAGGGATCAAAGGAGGACTGTGACTGTGCCCAGGCCCTGTATGTAACACCTCGCACTCATGTGCATTCACACTAGGTCGCAAATTTCCCAGCTTTTTGCTCTAACATATAGAGTATAAGACTGAGTGTTTCTGGGGCAGCGGGAATGAGATTAACTTTCCATACTTAAAAAATTTTTCATATGCTTATAAAACTCCCCCAGAAGGAAAAAAACAACCAGTGTTCCCTTGTCCCCTTTTTGCTTTGATTCTCTAGCAAAAGAGAATCAAAGACCAGGAACGCCCACATTGTGGCCTCCTCTCACAGAGTGACTCTGTGTAAGGCACCAGGTAGACAGCTTTCCTTGGCAGGCAGATGACCTATGGAAGTCAAGTCTTTGGCTTAAAGAAGGAGTTGCTAATAGAAGTCCCTGAGATGAAATTCCCTCTATAGAAGCATGTTGGACTTTGGGCATTTCAGTCTAATATCTGGGGTGGCAGTGGTGGATCTTGGTACAAAGAGGAAAGTACTTGGAAAAACCTGGATAAAAGGTATGTGAGACTTGGTCCCTGAAATAATGCAGCTCTACAGCCATCACCCGATCCCTTGCAGTCCCAGTACCTTTCTAATGATCCACTGCATCAGTCCCAGGTGGTAGAGCATGGACATTACAGTGCTGAAGAAAACCACGATGGGCAGGATCTGGCGGTGGGGTGGTGATGAAAGTGATGGCCGGTTAATGCTGGTCCCAGTACTATGAGTAAGTTTCACATCAGTCCCCTTTCAGCCCCTCCCTCTGACGCATCCCCCTTTGAGACATAACAGACTAGAAACTCCCCTTGAACTAAGAAATGGTTTTATTAGGCAGCTTCCCCACTGACTGTCTCTTAGTCTAGTTTGCTCTGGGTAAACTTGAGTATAATTTCATAGGCAACTTGACATTACTTTCTCTGCTGTGATGAGCTCTTCTTACTTTAGTGTCTCAGAGAAGGAATGAAGGTTTGGGGTAATTCTAATAACTAGATCAACAGACAGAAGGCTTCTGGCAGATATTCTTGTTCTGATATGAAGCCATCATGGGCACCACTGCTTGTTAGCAGAGTAACCAGGGTGAGCAACCTTTGATTCTCATTTGTGGTGGCTGCCCAGATCAGATACAGCATGGTCAGTGCTCACACACGGTGCCTCTTAGGGAGTAAGCACTCGTTCATTTAGCTTTTAAACTGATGATGTTTTTACTTATAGATTTTTGAATCACTAAAATAATTAAACTAGATAAACTACTTAACTTCTGTGTTAACCAAATGTTGACTTTTTCTAGATCCTATTTTCCTGATACTCTTTGGGCACCTTCCATGCAGCCTGTGTGTCTACAGTGAGCAGCCTCTAGCTGGCAGAGCTCACACAGCTATGGTCTGTGGCCCTCCGCACCCCTTCCCCACTGCACCCCTTCAGACCCTCTGCTCTCCAGCTACATGGCCAGGGAGGGCTGCCACCAGAGGCAGCCCTTGTACAAAATGACTGAAGACAATTTGTACAAGATCTAATTTAGAAAAATCTATTAATAATGTATATTAAAAGACATCCTGTGCATTATTGAGAGCTCACTCATGTGCTTTTATTGCCTCTAATGGGCAGGCAGGGCCTTTCTGAAAGCTTTAGGGAGCTGGAGGAGCTCATCCTTCCAATGTTCCCACAGGGATTCACTTAGGCAGGAAGGATGGAGGCTGCTGCCCCAGGGGACACGTTCTGAAGACACTCAGATAGTCTAGGCAGCAAGTCACTTCTTCCTTGTGACTTTATTTTTTCCAGTTATGAATTAAATTCATGATACGAACATATTTCAATCTCAATTTATACACACTTGACCTTTCAGAGCTGGCTTAGTTATCCAAGCACCAAAGCATGAACACAACAGTTTAAAAAATCACCAATTAAAAAAAAAGATTCCCCATGAACAGTTGGCCTAACTAATTTTAGAGTACTTTGGAGGTAAATTTGGAATCTCTAAGTGAGCAAACAATTTAGAAGTGTAGGAACAACAACACACCAAGAAAAAAAAGAGAGCTGAAGGAAATGCCACTTGCAAGTTTCTGACTCGGCAAGTATTTGTAGGGCTTTCCCCAGAGGGAGGTGAGCTCCTGGGGCTTGTGGGAGCCTTGGGAGGGAACATATTAGGTCTGGGCATGGGGCCAGGTTGCCTGTCTTTTGTGGAATAACATTCCTCCTTTGGTTGGGAGAAGGCCCAGCCTCCAGGCCTGCCTAGGTAAAGGCTGTACTCAGTGGAGGTTGTGGCAGATTTAGCTTGGGGCTGGCTCTGGAAGAATGGAGGCGATGCAGGTGAATGGCCGTCCTGGTGTGCTTGAGACTGAGGGGTTTCCTGAGCACAGAGCTGCCACCCATCCTGGCCCTATTCACTGCCAGGCACCTAATGTTCTTTCTCCTGAAATCTCAGATATTATTACCCCATGTAACTTTCATAAGTATCTTAGGCAATGCTACCAGCCCTCTGCCGAAGGATTGTTTTGAATATTTCTGACTTCCTCTGATGTTTCCTTTAATACTATAGTAACAAAGTAAACTGTTTGCAGTCCACTGGCCTCATATGTAGTTGTAAATGAAAAAGGGTAGTAATATGCTATTCATCTACTACATGCCCAGCAGGTATATACCTGGTTTTTGCCTTTACCTTAAATGCAAAGAAGTGGTCTGTGAATTTCTCACCAAAGACAAATGAAGCACCAGCATCAGTGTACCCCAAGAATGTCTGAGATGAAGAAAGGAAAAGAAAAGATCACTCTTGAGTAAAAGATTATGACCATGGAGGCAGCATTTACCATTCACAGGACCTACCAGGCTCTGCAGAGGGTGGGAACCCAGCACACTTGCTGCATGGACTTGGAAAGTTAATTTTCTCAGCTTTGTCCCACTTCTGGATGGCATAAAAGTGTAGTTTTGAACTATTCCTGCATATAGATATTCTGTCATTTCTGACATTCAGTCTGACTTCAGAGCACTCAAGAACGAGCTGGGCGTGATTAATTGCTCCAGCAAGTCACAGACGGCACATAGGTGGCACTAGTTACCACTAGATGCAAAGAAAGCCTGTTTCTCCTCTATCTGTGAAATCATTTAAAAAGTGTGACGCCCACTGGGCAGAATACAGGGGGCAATAGGGATGGGGTGTGATGGATGATATGGGTGAGGGACAACCATAGTATTAATAAACTAGATGGATGAACATAGTTGCATAAAAAAATTATTTGTCTAACTCATGGTACAGAATTAAAATTTGGGTCAACCAATACAAACAAATAAACCTATTTCTGATACGTCTTAAGAGTTATATCCAAATGTTAAAAGCATTACAAAAGCAAGGTGTTCATTTGAACCCAACTTACCTGAACTTGTTTGCCCAACCAATCAAAGGCTACGAATCCTGGCTCAGTCCTTAGTATTAAGAGCCCAAGAAGAAACTGTATCCCAAGTCCCCAAAAGACGGGCCTCCAGTAAACCTAAACAGAAGGAGGAAGAGATACATCTTATTAGAAAATGAATTCTAACCTCAGCAACAATGCAGAAAAGATCACTATTTTCTGCCATGCAGCCTATGACTTCTTTTTGGTGGGGGCCCAAAGCAGTCAAGTGCATGGAAGCCCTTGATAGGATTATACTCAAACACCTCAGAGTTGCATTTCTTCTTGCTAATCCTGAGTTTGAAACCTCCAGTCCTGGGCAAGTATGTAACTGTCACGTCATGATAAAATAACTTAGGCGCAAGAGTGAGCTTCAAAGGGCCATTACAGGAGGAAGGACCTGGCATTTCTAGCTGAGCTCTTCCTATTAGATACGTGCCATTGTTTCCTTTACCTGGAAAACAGGAAGGCAGAACATGACTTCTCTGTGTGTTCAAGGTTTGTTGATCTGATGATTTGCAAGTGAATTAAATGAAATTCCACTATGTTGAGGGGCTCTCATTTCACTGTGAAAGGCACCAATTAACTCTAATGCAGACCCAGAGAGTGCAGCAGTAATGGACAATCACCTGCTTTCATTGCTGGTGCAGAGATGAGTGGCCTGCAAAGAACTAAGGGATCAGAGACACAGAGCACAGTGGAGACATTCACCAGAACATGGCGAAGAGTCAAGATCATAGTAGGTGACTTTTTTGTTCCTTGGATCACCCTTTCAGCCAGTAAGTCTTCCAGAGTGTGCTGTGTGAGTCATATATGAAAGCTTCAATGTCTCAGAATTCTTGCCCATTTAATGGGTTACCAGTGGACAGAATAAGAATGAGAATTGAATTCCAAGTGAACAAAGCTGTTTAAGAACAAAATTTTGGAGTGGAACAGCCTAAATTGCAAATGGAAATTTGATAAACTGTGGAATCCAGTGGTAGAATGTTAGATTATTTGTTGGTCTGCGGAAATCTGGATCAAAATGGATGAGTTTTCTTTGTACTTTGTGTTTGTGTTCCCCAGCAGGAAGTGGGTACTTGAGCAGTAATTGCACTTGACAGGAGAAAACACCTCCCTGGTTGTGTAGCTGGAAAATTACTGAGAGTGAAAAGTGAGAGAGTGACTGTACAATGAACGTTCTGGAAGGAAGGGCACCCTAGGCACTTAAACTATCATAGCAAGGTGGGACAAATATTGAATAACAGTTAAATTATCCCACGCTCATTAATTTGAACAATTTATACATGAAAAATAAGAGGGAACCTCCCCCTCCAAAAGATCAATTTTGTACTTACTTTGGTTGGGTACTTGGAAAATAGAAACAGCAGGATAATATACATGCTGAGCCCCCCGAAGGACACCAGCTGCTGTTGGCCCAGTTTGGCGGTATCAAGGGACAGCCATAGAATAATCCCCAGGATCAGGGAACTCCAAATTACCCTAAGAGAACCGGAAAAGAGGCCTTGGCGTCATTTGCTGGGCTAACTGGAAAATTCCAATCAGGCTTAAACTACGAAGCATAAAAATATTAACAAGAGTAACAAACCCTGGCACCGAGAAGTTGTGCTTCTACAAATTGCATCAGATCCTCTTTGGTTGTGGCTATAAAGGCAAATAGCCAAAAAATTAAGCAATGTGTTTTCCTCACTTCACAACTCTTGGGCTCTTGGCTGGCTTAAGGATATATAAAGAAGTCAGGAAAAAAGGTGTTTGGAGAAAGAAGTCTGGTTATTTCTTTGAAAGAGCTACTGGGAGTCCTCACCTCTGTTTTGGGAGATGAGTGAGATGTTACTTTTTAAGGGAGAACTTGAAATGTGTTCTCTGCAGTTGAGGCAATTTGCCTGAGCCTCAGAGAACTAAGCTGGGCTTGAGATGGGGTTCTGACTCCCTGGGGAATCTAGAAGGTTTGACAAGTCTGCTTCATGGCTTGTATGGCAAACCCAGAAAGGGTGCTGTGTCAGCATGGCATTGTCCTGGTTCACTAGGCCAAGGCTGTGTGAAGTTTCCCAGTAGATCCCATGTGGGCCATGCTGGGAAAAAAAGGTCCTGGATCCTACCAGGAGGGTCAGCGAGGGAGAGGAAGTCTCACATACAGAGATGGAGGGGAAAGCTCTGAGTGGCCACCTGCAGGACACAAGGTCCTACAGGAAAAAGTTGCTTTTAGTACTATACAGGTTCTTCCTCCCAAGAAGACCAGAGCAGGAAGCAACCTCCCCAAGTAAAATGGTCCCATGTTTTGTACATTTTACCATTCAGTAGCGCTTGAAACTGAGGTCGTTTATAGGGACATTTGAACACATCTCTAATGAGTCATTGCCCTATCTAAGCCTTGCTTTCCTCCTTATAAAATGAAAACATTTAAAAAAATTATCCCTGAGGTTGTTTCTAGATGAAATATCCCATCACCGAGGAAGGAATTTCAGATCAAATTTTTGGAGCGGTGTTGGAAAAAACTAACACCCTCCCAAATGTAATAAGAAAACCAAATGTATTTACCACTTTAGCCAGAACCAATGGCTGTCCAGAAGTCTTCTGCCAGGAGACAGGAACTCATCAATTCGAGATTCATATTTGGCCATTAAGAGATCCCAGATCACAAAGAAGATGGCAGCCACAGTGATCACAAAAAGAGGAAGGGCTCTATGAAAATTTAGCACGCAGGCTGTGATCACCAAACCCAGGTAAACTGTCCAGGAAGCAAAGGCAGACAAAGAGCATCACTAACACATGCAGGCAACCAGCCTCCAGCCCTGATCTGGCTCATCCAAGGACAGATTCAAAGAACAAACCATTGAATCAAGGAGCACTCTTGATATATATTTTTAAAAGATTTTATTTATTTATTTTATAGAGAGAGGAAAGGGGGGAAAGAAAGGGAGAGAAACATTAATTGATTGCCTCTTGCATGTCCCCCCCTGTCGGGGACCCAGCCATGCAACCCAGGCTGTGCCCTGACTGGGATGACGCCCAACCTACTGAGCCACATGGTCAGGGCACTCTTGCTTTTCTTGATGTGACTAATGGCTCCTCTGATTTTAAGTCCCTAACAGTCTCATCCTGAATGCTAGGAGGATAGGGTGCTAGGTTATAAAATATTCTGAGTTCTTGAATCTTTTTTAAAAAATATGTTTTATTGATTGTGCTATTATAGTTGTCCCATTTCCCCCCCTTCATTCCTCTCCACCCTGCACAGCCTCTCACATTCCCCCCTTTACTTAATGTCCATGTGTCATAAGTCCTTTAGCTTCTACATTTCTCATACTATTCTGGCCTTCCCACTGTCTATTTTCTACCTACCATCTATGTTACTTATTCTCTGCACCTTTTCCCCCCTCTCTCCTCCTCCCACTCCCCTGTTGCTAACCTTCCATGTGATCTCCATTTCTGTGGTTCTGTTGCTGTTCTAGCTGTTTGCTTAGTTTGTTTTTGTTTTAGATGTGGTTCTTAATAATTGTGAGTTTGCTGTCATTTTACTGTACATGTTTTTTATCTTCTTTTTCTTAGATAAGTCCCTTTAACATTTCATAGATTAAGAGTTTGGTGATCAGTACCATTGGCAAAGAGGTACTGATTCTCCTGGTTCACAGCTAAGATTTGGCCTAAGCTTGAGAAGGAAAATCTCTAAGTACCATATCGACCATCTCTAAGTGCTGCAGAATCTGCAAAGGAAAGTGGTGGGGGTGGTGAACAAGGTGGCTGCTTTTGAAGACGGGATGCTAGGAGAAGAACAACAAAGTTTCCATTAATGGTCAGCAAACATGGTTTTGTTTGTAAGGCAAATTTGGCCTGCCCCTTGTTTTTTACGTAGCAAGTACAGCTGTATTTGTATACATGTATTTGCATTCTGTAAATAAAGTCTAATGGGGACATGGCCATGTGTGTCTGTTCACTTTTGTACTATGAGGGCAGAGATGTGTGGTTTTGATGTATGGCCTGCAAAATACCAGATGGACTTGTACGGAGAAAACTTACAATCCTGCTATTTCCTGTTCTGGCTACGTGAGCACCAGGAAAACCATACTACCTTTGAAGGTGTAGAATCTTGGATTAATTTCACTGGACTTAGGTAGTAGGGTTCATGTTTTATAGATAGGAATATTCTTTAAAATGGGTGGGTTTCTTTGCTTTGGAGGGAGAATATCAAAAAACCTGTTCTTCTATGTGCTATTGGCCCTTGAACAACATGGGTTTGAACACGTGGGTCCACTTATTTGTGGGTTTTTAAAACTAGATACTAGAAATGTAGTTTCTCTTCTTAGTAACATTTTCTTCCCTCTAGTTTACTTTATTTATTTTTATTTTTATTTTTTAAAATTTTATTTAGTCATTTTTCAAGTACAGTTTTTTTTGGTCTATTTCTCCCATCCCAGCCCCCCCTGCCCCATGCTCCCCACCTCCCTCCCATTTCCTCCCCCCCCAGTCCTCATCCCTGTGTCTTTCATACTTGTTCCTCAAAATCCCTCCCCTTTTTTCCCCTTAAATTCCCTTCCCTCTCCCCTCTGGTCACTGCCCACTTGTTCTCTATTTCAGTGTCTTTGTTTTTATTCTGTTTGCTTGTTTGTTTTGTTGTTTAGCTTCCAGTTAAAGGTGAGATCATATGGTATTTGTCTTTCAATGCCTGGCCTATTTCACTCAGCACAATGCTTTCCAGTTCCATCCATGTTGTTGCAAAGGGTAGTAGCTCCTTCTTTCTCTCTGCTGCATAGAATTCCATCATGTATATGTACTACAATTTTTTGATCCATTCATTTACTGATGAGTACCTAGGCTGCTTCCAACTCTTGGCTATTGTAAATTGTGCTGCTATGAACATTGTGGTGCATAGGTTCTTTAAAATTGATGTTTTAGGATTCTTGGGATATAATCCTAGCAGTGGAATTGCTGAGTCAAAAGGCAGGCCAATTTTTATTTTTCTGAGAAAATTCCATACTGTTTTCCATAATGGTTGTACCAGTCTGCAATCCCACCAACAGTGAACTGACCCCTTTTCCCCACACCCTCTCCAATATTTGTTGTTTGTTGCTTTGTTTATGATAGCCATCCTGACCGGTGTAAAGTGGTATCTCATTGTGGTTTTAATTTGCATCTCTCCAATAGCTAACGATATTGAGCATCTCTTCATGTGTCTCTGGATATTTTGTATGTCCTCCTTGGAGAAGTGTCTGTTCAAGTCCTTTTCCCATTTTTTAATTGGGTTAGATGTCTTCTTAGAGTGGAGTCTTGTAAGTTCTTAGTATATTTTGGAGATTAAACCTTTGTCTGAGGTATCATTGCCAAATATGTTTTCCCATACAGTTGGTTGTCTTTTTAATTTAGTACTGTTTCCTTTAGCCATGCAGAAGCTTTTTATTTTGATGAGATCCCATTTGTTTATTCTTTCCTTTATATTCCTTGCTCTAGGGGACATATCAGTAAAAACATTGCTGCATGGAATATCTGAGATTTTCTTGCCAATGTTCTCCTCTAGGACTTTAATGGTCTCATGGCTTATATTTAAGTCTTTTATCCACCTTGAATTTATTTTGGTGTATGATGTAAGTTGGTGCTCAAGTTTCATTTTTTTGCACGTAGCTGTCCAGTTCTCCCAACACCATTTGTTGAAGAGGCTATCTTTACTCCATTTTATGTTATTGCCCCCTTTGTCGAATATTAATTGACTGTAGAGAGTTGGGTTGATTTCTGGACTCTCTGTTCTGTTCCATTGGTCTATGTGCCTGTTTTTATGCCAGTACCAAGCTGTTTTGATTACAGTGGCTTTGTAATACAGTTTGATATCAGGTATTGTGATCCCTCCTACTTTGTTCTTCTTTCTCAAAAGTGCAGCTGCTATTCAGGGTCATTTATGGTTCCATATACATTTTTGAAATGTTTGTTCTATGTCTGTGAAATATGCCATTGGTACTTTAATAGGTATTGCATTGAATCTGTATATTGCTTTGGGTAGTATGGACATTTTGATGATGTTAATTCTTCCAATCCATGAACAAGGTATATGTTTCCATTTGTTTGTATCTTCCTTGATTTCTTTCTTCAATGTTGTGTAGTGTTCTGCATACAGGTTTTTTACCTCCTTGGTTAGGTTTATTCCCAGATATTTTATTTTTCTTTTTGCTATATCAAATGGGATTTTTTTCCTTGATTTCTGCTTCTGCTGATTCATTGTTAGTATACAAAAATGGCTTTGATTTCTGGATATTGACTATATCCTGCTGTTTTGCCAAATTCATTAAGTAGTTTAAGCAGTTTTTGGTAGAGTCTATAGGATTTTCCATGTACACTATCATGTCATCTGCCAACAGTGACAGTTTTGTTTCCTCCTTTCCTATTTGGGTGCCTTTTATTTCCTTTTCCTGTCTGATCACTGTGGCCAAAACTTCCAAAACTATATTGAATAGAAGTGGTGAAAGTGGACATCCTTGTCTTGTTCCTGATCTTAGTGGAAAAACTTTTAGTTTTTGCCCATTGAGTATGATATTGGCTGTAGGTCTCTCATATATGGCCTTTATTATATTGAGGAATGCTCCCTCTATTCCCACTTTGCTAAGTGTTTTTATCATAAATGGGTGTTGTACCTTATCAAAAGCTTTTTCTACATCTATTGATATGATCATGTGGTTTTTGTCTTTGCTTTTGTTTATGTGATGAATTACATTTATTGATTTGAGAATGTTGAACCATCCTTGCATCCCTGGGATGAATCCCACTTGGTCATGGTGTATGATCTTTTTGATATATTGTTGGATGTGATTTGCCAATATTTTGTTGAGGATTTTAGCATCTATGTTCATCAGTGATATTGGCCTGAAGTTTTCTTTCTTTGTTGTATCTCTATCTGGTTTTGGAATTAGGATGATGCTGGCTTCATAAAAGGAGTTTGGGAGTTTTCCATCCTTCTGGATTTTTTGGAATAGTCTACGAAGAATAGGGGTTAGCTCTTCCTTAAATGCTTTGTAGAATTCTCCTGTGAACCCACCTGGTCTGGGGCTTCTGTGTGATGGGAGCTTTTTGATTACTGCTTCAATTTCTTTTGCTGTTATTGGTCTATTCAGGTTTGCTACTTCTTTTTCACTGAGTTTTGGGAGATTATATTTTTCTAGAAATGTGTCCATTTCCCCTAGGTTCTCAAATTTCTTGGCATACAGTTCTTCATAGTAATTTCTTACAATCCTTCCTATTTCTGTGGTATCAGTTGTAATCTCTCCTGTTTCATTTCTGATTGTGTTTATTTGTGTCCGTTTCCTTCTTTTCTTGATGAGCCTACTTAAAGGCTTGTCTATTTTGTTTATTTTTTCAAAGAACCAACTCCTGGATTCATTGATCTTTAGAATTGTACTTTTAGTCTCTATGTCATTTAGTTCTGCTCTGATCTTAGTTATTTCCTTCCTTCTACTTGCTTTGGGCTGTTTTTGTTGTTGTTCCTCGAGTTCTTGCAGGCGTAGAGTAAGGTCATTTGTTTGAAATGTTTCTGTTTTCTTTAGGTAGGCCTGTATTGCTATAAACTTCCCTCTCAGGACTGCCTTGGCTGTATCCCATAAGTTTTGGGTTGTTGTGAGGTCATTTTCATTTGTTTCCAGAAACTTTTTGATTTCTTCCCTAATTTCATTCTTGACCCATTCGTTGTTTAATAGCATACCATTCAGTCTCCATGATTTTGGGTGTTTTGGATTTTTTCCTTTGGGGTTGGTTTCCAGTTCAGTCCCTTGTGGTCAGAGAAAATGCTTGGTATGATTTCAATATTCTTGAATTTGTTGAGGCTTGTTTTGTGTCCTATCATGTGGTCTATCTTTGAGAATGATCCATGTGCATTTGAAAAGAATGTGTATTTAGCTTCTTTGGGGTGAAGAGCTCTATATATATCAGTTAGGTCCATTTCATCAAGGGTGTTGTTTAATGCCGCAATGTCTTTGTTGATATTTTGTTTGGAAGATTTGTCCATTTTTGATAGTGGGGTGTTAAAATCCCCCACTATAATTGTGTTGCTGTCTATATCTTTCTTGAATTCCTCTAAGATTTTCTTTATATATTTTGGTGCTCCTATGTTGGGTGCATACATATTTGTGATGTTAATGTCTTCTTGGTGGATTCTTCCCTTGAGTATTATGAAGTGACCTTCTGGGTCTCTCTTTATGGCTCTTTTTTGAAGTCAGTAGTCTGATATGAGAATTGCTACCCCAGCCTTTTTTTCTTGTCCATTTGCTTGGAAAATTTGTTTCCAGCCTTTCACTTTTAGTCTGTGATGGTCTTTTGTCCTGAGGTGGGTCTCTTGTAGGCAGCATATGTGTGAGTCATGCTTTCTTATCCATGAAGCTATTCTGTGTCTTTTGATTGGAGCATTTAATCCATTTACGTTTAAGGTTATTATTGATAGGTACTTATTCATTGCCGTTTTTGTACCTGTGTTCCTCTCTGTCTGTCTCTTTTCCTTCCTTTCCTTAAAGCAGTCCTTTTAGTATTTCTTGTAGCGCTGGCTTGGTGGCAGCATATTCTTTTAGACTTTTTTTTGTCTTGGAAGCTCTTTATTTGGCCTTCTATCTTGATTGAGAGCCTTGCTGGGTAAAGTAGCCTTGGTTGTAGGCCTCTGTTTCTCATTACTTGAAATATTTCTTTCCATTCTCTTCTTGCTTGGAGTGTTTCCATTGAGGTCAGTAGCTAACCTGACTTCTCAGGTTATTGGGGCTCCCTTGTATGTTACTTTTTTTTTCTCCCTTGCTGCCTTTAAGATTCTCTCTTTGTCTTGAAATTTTGCCATTTTAATGATGATGTGTCTTGAAGTGGGCCTCCTCGGGTTCTTCTTGAATGGGACTCTGTGTGATTCCTGGATTTGTGTGACTTTTTCTTTTATCAAATTAGGGAAATTTTCTCTCATTACTCTTTCAAATATGTTTTCTATCCCTTGTTCTTCTTCTTCTCCTTCTGGTATTCCTATTATTCAGATATTATTACATTTCATATTGTCTTGCATTTCTCTTAATCCCTCTTCATTCTTTCTGAGCCTCTTTTCCCTTTCCTGTTCTTTCTGTGAGATGCTTTCTACTTTGTCCTCCAATTCACTAATCAAATCTTCTGTTTCATCTACCCTATTTTTAATGCTTTCTACTGTGTTTTTTAATTCAGAAATTGTATTCTTCATTTCCTCTTGGCCCTTGCTAATAATTTCCATTTCCTTTTTCATGTTGATATAGTTCGTGGTGAGATCGTTATAGCTTCCCTGTAGTTTCTGGTAGCTCATTGTGAGCTCTTTGAACTTCCTGATAACCAGTGCTTTGAATTCAGTATCTGATAGTTGACTCGCCTCTGTTTCATCTAACATTCTTTCTGAGGGTTCCTCCTTTCCTTTCATTTGGGGTTTGTTTCTTTGTCTTCCCATTGTTTGTGAGACTCTTCTTGTTAGCCTCAGCTTCTTAGATTAATCTGTTTTGACACCCTGGGTTTATGGTGTGAACTTTGGGGTAGAATACCTGTGAATTTCAGTGGTGCAGTCTGTTTTGGTTATCCTGTCGTTCTCTGCTCCACCTACTCAAATATGCAGCAACTTTTGGCTTCTCTCCTACAGCAATGTGCAATTTGTCTCTCTGACTCTACTATTGGGAGGCCTCTTCTATGGGTCCAGCTCTGGTCTTTTCATATTTTCGAGTTGATTGTGACTCTTGTGGGTAAAAGAAAGAAATGACAAGGAAAGAAATAAAAGGAAGAAAGAAAAAAAGGGTAGGGGAATGGAAGAAAGAGCAATACGTTTAGAAAGAAAAGAAGAAGAAATAAAACAGAAAATCCAAGAAAAGAGGACAAAAGTATCGAAAGATGATACAGTAATAAAATTTAAAAGAAATAACAGATTACTTTAAAAAAGCAAAAAGATAAAGAAAAGGAATGGAAAAGGAAGAAAAGTAAAAAAAAAAAGAAATAACAAAAATAAAATAAAGTAAAATAAAAAAAAACAAGAAACAAAAAACAAAAAACACACAAACAAAAAGAATCCTCCAAAAACAACAACAGAAAAGGAAATGTTACGTGTTGGCTTCAAACTAGCTGAACCGGTTTTTTTGGCTGCAGTTGGGTGAGGGTTGATTGTTGTGATTTTTTTCTGCCAGCCCCTCTCAGGATCCAGACACTTGGTGCCTCCCCCCAGCTCCCTACAGTGGGGAACTAGGACTTCCTCACAGCACTCCCCTCCCAGGGGTTACCGCCATGGGCTGGTTTGCGGTGTTTGCGGACACCTGTACTGGCCTAGTTGCCTGGTTCCTTCAGGATTGAGCACAGACCTGCCCCTGTTCTGTGGAGAAGCTCTAGGCCCTCTGCCCAATCTGGGCTTCGCTGCCAAGCTGAGTGTGGAGCAGACCAGGCTGTTGTGTCTATTGGATTCAGAGCCCCACACTGTACCTCTCAGTTCTCCTGGGCTGGCAACCACCGAGTCCTTGGTTGGGGCCCTTTGTCCTCAACACCCTCTCTGCAAACTTTATCAAACAAGTCTCTCCTGGCACCCCACCTTGCTTGGCCAGAAAGGGAGGGGGTTGAGGGTCTCAGCTCTTTCCCCAGGACCCCTCAGCGCCTGGGGCTTCCAGATAGTCTGAGGGGGGTGGACTGGAAGCCGGGAGCCAATCTGAGGACTGGGTGCCGACCTAGAAATTCTGTGCGCATATCATGGCATGCTGCGTGGTGTGTATTCCTTCTGCTCCTGTGTTTGTCTGGGTCCCCTGGCCAACCTCAGCTGAAAAAACCTAGGGATGGAGCAGCACCATGCCAGTTGCTGGACCCAGAACTCTGCGCAGGCTGAAATCTCCTCTGCTCCCCTTTGGTTGGGCCTCTTGGCAGGTCCTGGCACAAAAATCCTAAGGAGGGAGCTTTCCAGGCGCTGAATGTTGGCCTAGGCACCGTCAGGCAATCGCCCAGATACACTGCGCTGTCGGGCGACTAGTCTCCTAAATTGTGCGCAGGCTGAAATCCCTTCCACACCTCTTTGCCTGGGCCACTTGGCTGGCCCGGCGAAAAAATCCCAGGGAGGGAGCGGTCTGGGTGCTGAACGGCTGTCCCAGGCGCCATTGGGCTCCTGCTACTGGGTGCTCGTTCCCCAACCATGCGCCAGCAGAGATCCTCGCTATTTCTCTTTGCTCAGTCCCTGAGACTACTGTATGGCTGCTGTCTCCCTACAGTCTGGTTCCTCCGTGACCGTGGAGGTTTCTGGTCCCTTATTTTCATATATGCTTGGCAACTGCTGGCTTGCTAGTTTCTCCTCCTCCGATGGGACAGGTTTCTCTCTCCCTTTTGTACTAGGAACTGGTATCTGCTCCATCCTACTCCATCGCCATCTTGAATCAGGCTCTAGTTTACTTTATTTTAATTATTCAGTACATAACACATACAATATACAGATATATGTTAATCGACTGTGTTACTGGTAAGGCTTTGGGTCGACAGTAGGCTGTTAGTAGTTTTTGGGGAGTCAGAACTTATATGTGGATTTTTGACTCTTTGTGGTAGGGAGTGCAGGATGTTGCTGCTGGTAGACAGTACATCTCTGCCTGCAGGCAAGAGGAGTGGACTACACCTCCCTAGGCCACTCCCAGCATTGTATTTCCATAAAGTATTTATCAATTGCTTATACTTCCTCATGCAATTAGATCCCCACGTTGTGATTACCACCATGTTTTTCAGTTACCTGGATTTGCATTAACCAACTTTCAAATCCATATTGCAATAACAAAGGCACAGTGTGGGTGACCTAAATCAACCAGATAGGGAGACAATCTGGATAGGTACTCTGAGCTGAGACCTGCAATTCAGGGCCTTCCTGATTTACTTCTCTCCCTGTCTGGATGATTCATGAGGTCCAGAGGAAAGGAGAATTTATATTCCTTTCACAGAAAGCTCGGTATAATATTTGGGGGGCCCTCAAAGAGAGACACTAGCATCCCTTCCCCTTTCATTATTTACCTGCTAATAGGAGGCTCCAGATGATGTACCTAATGGTTGTTTTGTGTTTCCTACAGAAAGCATAGACTGTAGCGTACTTCCTTGCCAGACACCTGTAACAACATGAAAGCAACATGTCAGGCAGAAGTAAATGCCAGTAACATGAAACAAACTGGTATATTACAGCTAGAAGAGGCTTTATAAATAAAGCAAGCTAACTAACAAATTCTTGAAGCATATGTCCCACAAAATGGAAATGGGAAACTCATTGCATTGTAGACTCAACCCAGCCATGGCTTGGATCCACCTCTGCTGAACAGGTGTGCCAAGTGCTGAGAGACTAGAGACACAGAAAGCCTGTTCCTGGAAATAGAGTGGGAGAGGTTGATAACTAAGCAAAAGATGAAAATAATACATAGGATGAAGATGTTTTCATAGGGCCTCCATTAGCTTGTGAGCCAGTTATTAAATACTGATTTTTTAAAAAAAGTCCGATGAACTCTCATCCCTCTTGTTCCAGAGTTTGGGTAAGGTGGTTGTTCCCTGTTCTTGCTCAATGCACTTTTTAGTAGGAAGCTGATGGACTTCACTGAGTGCTTGAAATGTAAAATAGGATTTTGTGGATTTGAGAGCTGTAACCAGTAGGTCGTCATATAGCTTCCTCAGAAAGTTCTAGAATTGTTGGTATGTCTTTGTTCCTGTTCAGGGTTTTGTTACAGGGTAATGGGTAGTGTGTGAGCAATGTGTGCATGTGATCACATCTTCAGGAAGATCGTGACCACCAGCGAATGAGATTGGGGGGGGCCACAGGGCCAGACCCACAGCCACTGTCTTCTATTCCTCTTGAGATGCTCCTGGTCCCTCTATACCTGCTCTTAATTCTGGCTTCCCTATGGGTACCTCTTTCTGCCACATCTAATGGAGGCCTCGCCTCCCATTGGAGGACAGGTGGAAGGAATTTACTTGCACATTTAACTATTGCCACTTCCAGGCCACTGCATAACATTTTGAAAATAACCACTTCTTGTCCATGTAGAAGATTCTAACCTCCAGGATCTCAAAGGACTCAGCTCCCTGCTGGGACCTTCCTTCCCCTGGTTAGTGCCTCCAGTTCCCTTCCTTCCTCAGTTATGCCCATATGTCCAAATCTCAGCCCCCTTTAAGTTTCAGGGCACAGCTCAAGCTCTTCCTTTCTACAAAGCCTTCTTGCATATCTGCAGACAGAGGTGATCTTCTGCACTTTACTCATACTCTCTTTTTATTCTTTTGTTATGATACCTTGATCTGACTGACTTCCGGGAAAATAGAGCTTTGTGAGCCCTATAGCACCAGCACCTTGGACAGGCATTTGTTGAATTACTAGATAAGCAAGCTAGGAGTGTATATTGCTTTCCTGAAACAGTAGTTTATAGCTGTGGGTTGGGACCCATTAGTGGACTGTGAATGATAACCATCACTTAGAGAAACTGAACATGTCAGAATAGATCACGTGTAGTGATGATAGGTATTATTTCATAAAACTTCTGTAATTACGTATGTGTGTGAATGTGTGCACTGAGAATCAGAAATCCTGTTCTAGAAGATGTTGGGATAATAGAAGTGTAGTAAAAACTAAGTTTTTATGGTCGAATTGGGAATAACACATTATCCCCAAGTTGTGGATATCGTGTTAAAAAGTAGCAGTGGTGAAAGACAAAATTTAATAGGGAACATCCATCTACTTTAGGCTGGATTTATCAGATTTTTTAATTGCAGGGAGTATTTGTAGTCCATTAGCGCATACTGCCACTGCATATAATAAAGTAGCTGGAAATGGAGGAGGCTTCTGCCATCTGTTATCTGGGCTGAGCCACTTCCCACCACCCCATGGCTGTTCTGTCCCATTAACGTTAGTGAAAGCTGAGCACCTCTGACCACCCAGGAGACCCTCCAAGCCCCAGGGTCAGAGATTCAGGAAGCGTGATGAGGCTGGAACTAAGCTCAGCTTTCTGAGGCAGTAAATATTTCTCGATGGCGTCTATGTGACAAGATGTTTCGATCTGAATTCTGACCACCTCCAGAGATATCCTCTGATAATAAAAGCCAAGTTCCTCATAGACTTGGGAATTTAGATTAAATTTAAATAGGAATTTAGAAAATTGACAGATATTTTAGTGTTATGATAGAATATCAGATAATCTTGGACTAGGAATCAGAAGCTGAAATTTTAAGTTAGCTTTCTTCATCTCTAGTTGACTAACCTTGAATAAAGCCACTTCTCTAAGCTTCACTTTCTTAATCTAAAAAAAAAATAATATAATTTGCCTCTCCTACCTTAAGAGGTGATAAAGACTTGGAATACCTGCAGGATATCTTAAGGTAATAGTGGGTAGATTGGGTTTTGAGAAAGCAATTGCTTATTGATTGACATTGAGAAGATAAAGTAACTATTTTTATGGGTAGTGAAGCAATTAGTTGGTAATTTACACCTGTGATTGAAAGGGTGTCCTGGGTATTGGGTTCCCAGGACATCAGCACTTTGAATTTACCACATTGATTATTGTAGATCTCCATTAATTTTTCTGAAAATGGTTGGGTGGGTAGTAAGGAAAAAGGATGGGTGGTGGTGACCATCTCTAATAAATAATAATAGATGTTTAAAGTAAAAATTAGGTAAGGATAAACAAAGTAGCAAAACCATTTGTCTAGGAGGTAGGTGTGTTTATTCTCTAGTTTAAGCCTGTACCCTTTTGAATGCATCTCTTGATCATCCTTCTCATCTTCTTCATTTCTGAGAGAATTCTGCTCAGTGGTGACCTGCTCTTCATCCTGAAAATCAGACATTGAAGCAGAGACACAATGATGAAAATCCTGAGCATAGTGGACCCTGATCTCCTTTTCTTGGCAAACAACTTTCAAAATGTCCTTTTAAGTTATTATAGAGAAGATAGCTCCTATTAGATATTTTCCTCCCTAACACAGATAGACATACACACACAACGTGTGATCCAGAATCACATTTTTCTCTCCCTTTTCTTCTTTTTAAAATTTTTTTTATTGATTATGCCATTACATTTGTTCTATTTCCCCCCTCAGTTCCCCTCCACCCTGCACACCCCTCCCTCACCATTCCCCCCTTCAGTTCATGAACACATGTCTCAAGTTCTTTAGATTCTGTATTTCCCCTACTATTTTTACCCTCCCCCTATTTTCTACCTACTGTCTATGCTACTTATTTTCTGTACCTTCTCCCCCCTTCTCCTCCTCCCACTCCCCTGTTGCTAATCCTTCACGTGATCTTCATTTCTATGGTTCACTCCTGATCTAGCTGTCCTCTTAATTTGCTTTTGTTTTAGGTGTGGTTGTTGATAACTGTGAGTTTGCTGTCCTTTCACTGTTCATTTTTTTAATCTTCTTTTTCTTAGATAAGTCCCTTTACTATTTCATATAATAAGGGCTTGGTGATGATGAACTCCTTGAATTTGGTTTTATCTGAGAAGCACTTTATCTGTCCTTCCATTCTAAATGGATACTTTGCTGGATAGAGCAATCTTGGTTGTAGGTCTTTGGATTTCATGACTTGGAATACCTCTTTCCAGCCCCTTCTGGCCTGTAAGGTCTCTTTTGAGAAATCCGCTGACAGTCTGATGAGAACTCCTTTGTAGGTGACTGTCCCCTTATCTCTTGCTGCTTCTAGGATTCTCTCCTTCATTTTAATCTTGGCTAATGTAATGATGATGTGCCTTGGTATTTTCTCCACACCTGGGAGAGGTATTTTCTTCTTCTGTTTAGAGAACAGACTCATTCTTACCTCTGCATTCACATCTCCTGTGTCTACTATAATCATTCAACTCCAGCTCTGTTTCAGAAAAGTGCCAAATGAAGTTAATAACAGAGGCTGCACTATTGCTCCTATAAACTCAGCTGGCGCTGGTTTCCAAAGGATGGAGACCAAGCCTGGTTTTATATTCCTGGCAGCCCAAGGCTTGACCTGCAGGTGTGAACACTAGCTCAGCATCTTCAAGAGCTGATAAACTTCCCCTTGGGAACTAGGCTCCTTCTGTCAGTTGGGCTAAAGGGAAATGTTTCTCTTCCTCAGCCAGACCTTGCTCTAGTTAATGAGTGAAGCACGTACATACCTGGGTCAGCTTTTCATGGATAATCTTTCTAGGTACCATTTGAACTCAATATCCATAACCTGTCCTGTTCTTGAGATGGTGTAGAGAATTTCCTATCTCCTTTCTTTCTGCAATAATGTCTAAAATGCTATCACAAGCAATAGTGAGGAAAAGTGGGAAGTATGCAGGTGTGGAACTGTTTTGAACAAGCTGTAAGAGATATAAGGCCAAATCTCAGCTTCTGCTTTCCGTCATATCCCATGTGGCCATTGGTTCTTTTTACTTCAACAGAACTCATAGAAAGAAGTCATTAACATGTCTCTGAGCTGAAAGGATCCACAAGAATCATGGAGTCCTTTGATGCCAAACTGACTTGTACTTCTGACTCAGATTACTTTCCTTTCCTAGGCTGGACCCCAGGAAGTAGGAAGGGAGAGGCTAACTGCAGAAAAGACCAGCTGAGTTCAAGCTGTAGGTGCTGGGGACACAGGCAGAGATGACCAGTATTGTTTTTTTTTCCCATCCATCACTTAGCTTGGCCAATGTTAATTTTGGTAAATATTCAATTTAAATGATTATAATTATTTTTACAGGGAATTTGCCCCAAGTTACCTACTATCTATGGAATGTCAAGCATCACTATTGTTTTCTTCCCCGCCCCCCAAACCTGTTCCATATTTAAAACAAAATAACACAAAATAACAACAAAGTCTTCTTGATCCCACAGTCATGAGACATCTGCCTTCCTTTCCTCCCTTCACAGCCAGACCACTGGAGAGAGCTGCCTTTTCCTTTAGTGACCACTCTCTCACATTCTGTTCTTGCAGCCCTCTGGGAGCAGCTCATACTGAGCTGGCTGCTGCCGAGGCCCCTCAAGGACCACTGTTACCAAATCCAACAGCTACTTCTCAGTCCTCACATTCCTGTTTACAACAGTAAAGTGTCTAATTTTTTGTTTTTGATATTGTTTTGTGAAACAGTTTTTAAAGAGACTTTTTAGAGCAGTTACAGGTTCACAGCAAAATAGCAGGGAAGGTATAGAGACTTCCCATATATTCCCTGCCCCCTTCCCTCCATTGCCTCCCCGTTATTGATTTCTCTCATCAGAGTGGTGCTTTTGTTGTAATCAATAAATCTACAAAGTCCATAGTTTACATTGGGGTCCACTCTTGGTATCTACAGAGAGAAATTCTAAGATGCCCTACATTAAATTAGAGCAGGCTGGACAGCAGGAAGAAAAGAGAAGTTAAGCAGTTAACAGAGTCAAGGGCAGAAATCAACAAAGGGTAGTTCACAGTCCTGAATGTATGTTGAAACTTCAAATCAACTTCCAGGCACTATTTCGATTCTTATCTGAAGAGCGGACCACCGACACCACCACACCTGCCTTACTCATGCACTTTCTGGACTGTTGCCTGTATCAACACTCCTTCCTTATGGACTGTGCACCTATTCCAGGATTTTCTTTGCTTCACCTTCTCCTCCCCCCTTGTCTATAGCCAATGTACATTCTTTTAAAGCAACCTTCATCTTTCTTCCCCAAATTCACTGTATAAAAGAGCCTCGCTCAGCCCCCTCAGGATGGCGGTCATGTTGTCTCGTCCATTTAGCTCTGCTGTTGGTGGTTTGGTCTGCATGCCCCAGGTCGGGCTCCTTTTTCAGGCTAGCACGTGGCTCAATAAATCCCTTCTTTCAGAAGAATCTTTTGGCAGTGAAGGTTTTTTGTTTAACAGTGTTTTACATTCTGTGGTTTTGGAGAAGTGTTTAATAACATGTATCAAGCATTCTAGTTTCATACAGAATAGTTTCAACTTCCTTAAAAATCCTTTGTGCCTAGTCACCCTCCCTCCCCTCTTGGCAACCACTGACCATTTTGCTGTCTCCACAGTTTTCCTTTTCCAGAAGGTCACAGAGTTGCAGTCATATACTATGAAGCCATTTCAATTGGCCTCTTTCACTTACTAATGTGCATTTAATGTTCTCCTATGTCTTTTCATGACTTGACAAGTCATTTGTTTCTAGCGCTGAAGAATATTCCATTGTCTGGATAGACCACAGTCCACGGAACCATTCACCTACTGAAAGACATATTGGCTGCTTCCAAGGTTTGATGATTATGAGTAAAACTACTATAAACATCCATGTGCAGGTTTTGTGTGGACAGAAGTCTTTTTTCTCTCTTTTTTTTTTGAATAGTATTCAGCAAAATTAACACGTTTTACAATATGGTGAATGAAATAGACAGTAGTAATATGTGTAGCACCATCCCTGTATGGGTACCACATGCATGCACTTGCATTAAAAGGCCTTATTATGAAATGTTAGGCACTGATTATTCCTGAAATGACAGGTTTCTTTTTTGTCTTTGCTGCGATTTTGCTGCGATAATTTTTCAGAATTGTTTTTCTCCTTTAAACAAGTTATGCTTTTTAATCATGAGAATAACCCTCCCCTCAATAAATGGGCACCCAGAATTTCTAAAAATAAAAATAAAATAAAAAAGAAAGATGACTGACGTGGAGAATTTGCTCACTTTTTAAGAGCAGAAGGCTTTCTTCAAGTGAGATCCTACCCAGAATTCAATACATAAAGGAAATAAAAAGTGACATCATGGTGGAGTGCTTCAGCCTGCTGTGTCACCTGGCATCACGGAGGACCCCTCAGGCCTGATGGACACTGTTTCAGAGCCATATCTTAAAACCTTTCTTGTCTGCCTCATTTACCTTAAAATTGAAATGCTTTTGGTTAAACCAGTGTTTTCTGCACAGGACAGAGCTTGCAATCTGCAGCAATGGCATGTCAGGGAAGCCTGAGTGCTCTCCCTGTCAGAGAACTAACTCTAAGGACAGGTGTATAAACATAAAACCATTGTTCAGGCACATATTTTTTTTCATGACTTTGCCTTACACAGTCTGATTACCATTTAACTCATTCTTCTGAGTGCTAGCTGAGCTCCATGCTTTCTGTCCCCATACCTCTCAAGTGCCTGTTGCACAATGGTTACCATGGTGATAAACTCTCTCAGTGATCTCTGCCCATACCTGTTTGGTGTTGACGTGTTCTCTGTTTTGCACAACTCTACTCCGTAAGGAGTCATTTCCTGATGTGTACTGGTTTTCATGAATGTTTTCTTCATTCTAGAAACAAAGTAGAGGTTGGAAAAATAAAATTTCAGAGGCAAAAAAATGTTTTTTCAGAATGGTGCCTAGATGTCATCTTTCTTTTTATTAAATGTATTGGAACGGCATTGGTTAATAAGATTTAGGTTTCAAGTGTATATTTCTATGATATAGGATCTGTATAGTGCATTGTGTGCCCACCACCCAGAGTCAAATCATCTTCTGTCACCACATAGTTGACCCCCTTTACCCTCTACTACACTCCTCCACCCCCTTCCTTCTGGTAACCACCATACTGTTGCCTGTGTCTATGAGCTGTTGTTTGTAAGTTCATTTGTAGATTTCAGTTTCATATCCCACATGTGAGTGAAATCATATGATTCTTAACACTTTCAATCTGACTTATTTCTCTTAGCATAATATTCTCAGGGTCCATCCATGTTTTTGTAAATGGCAGTGTTTCATCTTTTCTTATAGCTGAATACTATTCCATTGTGTGTGTGCATACCACATCTTCTTTATCCAATCATATATTGAAGGACATTTTGGTTGTTTCCCTGTCTCGACTACTGTGAATAATGCTGCAGTAAACATAGGGGTGCATGTGTCTTTGCCAATAACTATTTTTAAATTTTTCAGATAGATACCCAGAAGAGGGATTGATGGGTCACATGGTAACTCTATTTTTAATTTTTTAAGGAATCTCCATACTGTTTTCCATACTGGCTGTACAAGTTTACATTTTCATCAGCAGTGAATGAGGCTTCCTTTTTCTCCACAATCTCTCCAGCACTTGTTATTACTTGTCCTCTTGTTGGCCATTCTAACGGGTGTGAGGTGGTATCTCATTGTAGTTTCCATTTGCATTTCTCTAATAGCTAGTGAAGTGGTGCATTGTTTCATACATCTCTTGGCCATTAGTATGTCTTCCTGGGAGAAGTGTCTGTTCAGGTCCCCTGCCCTTTTTTTAATTGGATGTTTGTTTGTTTGGTGTTGAGTTATATGAGTTCTTTATATATTTTTGAGGTTAACTCCTTGTTGGAGCTGTTGTTTGAATCTTCTTCCATTTGGATGTTGCCTTTTTGTTTTGTTGGCAGTTTCTTTTGCTATGCAAAAGCTTTATATTTTGATATAGTTCCATTAATTTACTTCCCTTGCTTTTGGAGTCAGATTCATAAACTTAAAGACCAAGGTCTGTAAGTTTAGTGTCTATGTTTTCTTCTATCTGATTTATTGTTTCAGGTCTTATATTTAGGTCAATGACCATTCTGAGTAGGTTTTTGTATGTGGGGACAAACAGCACCCTAGGGGTAGGACGACAAAGATGAGGTGTTTAAATGAATAAGCTGATTAAAGAAAGAACCAGGCCCTGGCTGGTGTAGCTCAGTGGATTGAGTGCGGGCCTGCGAACCATACAATCGCGGTTCGATTCCCAGTCAGGGCACATGCCTGGGTTGCAGGCCGGTTCCCTGCAGGCCAGTTCCCAGCAGGGGATGCACGAAGGCAACCATACATTGATGCTTCTCTCCCTCTCTCCTTCCCCCCTTCCCCTCTAAAGATAAATAAATAAAATCTTGAAAAAAAAAAAAAGAAAGAACCAGTGAATCTTGGCTTATAAAGAAAAATAGATGATTTTTGTTTTGTTTTGTTTTGTTCTGTTAGAAAGGAACGAAAACAAAAGAAAGACGAAAGAAAAGTGGTCCAACTTGAGGAAGAGAGAAAGGAAGGCAGTTGCCCCACTCTGGGCCATATAATTTTCGAATAAGCAGAACTGAGGCTGAGGATGAAGGTTTCCAGTCTTCTTTCCATCACATCACATAGGCTTTCAATTTATACAACTAAACAAACTGTAGGAAACCATAGTCCAGATCATTTTATTCATAGGTGTTGGATTTGTGAGATGTCAGAATATGTCTTGTTTGGTTTAAAACAATCTCTGGTAGTAATGAGAATAAGAAAATGTCTTTTTTGTTTGAGGCTATCTTGATTTTACTTTAAGAAACTGAGTATGGTGTGCTCTTGGAGGGGTCTCCTGACCCCTTAGAGCTTTTTCCAGATGTGACCAACACCTGTTTCATTTCTCTTTTACCATTTTTGAGGGGTTGAATCTCCCTCTCACCTCACTACAACTTGCCTTTTTAAAATAGTACTTCATTCCAAGTAAGGCAACTGGTAGATGAACAGTGTTAGGTGGGTCCTTATATCTTTTTAGGAAATGCCCCCCCCCCCCCGCCAGGACTGTTGGTTGTGATCTTGTCTTTGAGAAAACAAGTGCATGACTTTGATTTTAACTTTTGCTCTCTGGTTGGTCCCAAGGACCTAGAATAAATTGCAATTTCAGCTTGTGTTGCATTTTCCATTTATTGAAACCCAAGTATATGTAAACATGAATAAAATCTAACTTCCAAGTGTGCACATGACTAATGCATAAGTCTTTTGCCAAAATGCTCTTTTGTGTTACAGTTGTTTGTGTCTTACTTGAGTAAAATTCCTTGCACTTAGTAGACACTAACAATTATTTGTTGATTTAATGAACCACAGTGATTTTACTGTTACACTTACTGGTACAGCCATGTAGTACCTCCGGGTATTATTTCCTGTCAGATCTGGTAGGTGGGGGGCAGTATATATAGAATAGAAAAATGACACTGTGTTGCTAATTGCTGAAGCTGGCTGAAGGGTACTGAGGGACTCATTGTACTATTCTTACTTTCATGGATGCCGAAAATTTCTTGAATAAAACATTAAAAATTATATTCAGTAAGAGTTGATGGAAAAATGGAACACAGGTAACGAAAGGGATTGGTGCTCAGGGTCCCTAATTACCAGTGGACACTAGGGAGGTCACATCTTTGTAAGCTTCAGTCCACCCTTCTACACAGCATAGTTTTGATTGGGTATTCTTATGGTTCCTTTCAGAATGCTGAAATTTTCTGGTATGAGGAGCTTCAGCTTCTTGGTGTTGATTATTCCTGCCACCTGGTGGCAGAATCAGATGCTTCTGGATAGAATATAAGGGTGGAGCCTGGCTTTTCAAAATTAAACAAAGAGGAAGGGGTGTGTGCGTGGGTGTGTGTATGGGGTGGGGGTGGGATGGAGAGTGGGGCAGAGTGAGCATGAATGATGATAAAGGTATTTGGCAACATGTAATGGGATTATTTTACACCTTGTTTTTTGTTTTTTTTTAGCATTTTTAGGAAGAACAATGCCTCCTATTTGAGGATTTCCAACAGAAATAATGGGGGTGTGGTGTGGGTGTTGATTAGAGTCTGAAAAATGACCCTTAAGACATATGATTCTCTGCTTCCTTTCAAATTGGAGTCAGTGGGCCTGTAATAGGCTGCCGGTAATTACCTATTGTTTTTTCCTGCCTTTTGAGCAATTCAGATTACTAGGTACCTCAGTCCTCTGCCCCAAACTCCTACAGGCATGACTGTGTTCTGAATGCAAGCCTGTCACTCTACCAAGTGAGTAACAACATTGTGGGTGTTGTGTGTGAATATTTCTAAACAATTGACAGCACGCCACTTTTAATTTCTCAAATTAATGTTAGTTGCTGGAGTCCTGAGGCTGGTGATCCTGGATAGAGCCTCTTTCCCCTGAAAGGCAGGCCCTGAGACAGGAGTACGTTGTGCCTGGGGTTTTCTCTTTGAAGTTGCACTTTCCAGCTGCTCAAGCAACTATAGACCCACAGCTACAGATCCACAGTGGGTATTATGGGAAAGACTCAGAGGAATACTGGAGGAAGTGAAGTGGAACCTTTATTATGGACCCAGAGGAGGCAGACTCCAAATTCTGGGCCCCAATCAGCGGAGAGCAATTGCTTATATAGGGTGAGGGGCAGTCTGTCACTTAGACCATTACTTCTGAAACAAAAGCAAGAAGCAGCTTACAGAAGCAAGAAGCAAAATGTTATCTCTAGCACACAGGGGCAAGCGTTATTTCTGGCGCGCTGGGGCAAGCAAGAAGCAAAGGAAAAAACAAGCCATAAAAACAGTCATTCCCTGGGTGCTGTGCTATGTTTGGCAGTTAAAATAACTGCCAATTTCCTCTAACGGGGTACAGATGGACAGAGGCCCCCCCCTTTTTAAAGTTTTGTCATTTCATTTAGTTTCTAAACCATATTATTTGTAGAATATAGGAAATTACTGAAATCACTCCTCCTCCAGCTATTTGTGATATCACCTTCTATAGAAGTTTAGCTGAACACATGGCCACCCAGAATAAAGGCTACATTTCCTGGATTCCCATTTCAGTAAATTCTGGCCAATGAAATGAAGATAGAAGTGGTGCCCTGTGTCGGGTGACTCAGGGAGGCTCCATGGGAGATGACTGGCAGGTACTCTATCTCTTCAATCTTTTCTGCTGTGCTGCTGCCTGGTATGTGGAGGGTTCCCCATGGACCCAAAACACAATATCCCCATCCTGGTGACCTCAGAGTGGTGAGTTGAGGTGGGAGGACTTTGGCCCCAGGAAGCCATAGGCAATGCTCTCCTCGAGCTCTGTACTACCTGCTTCCTAACTTTCAGCTGCAGGAAATGAACTTCTCTCTTGCCCCTTTTGGGATTTGCTTTTATTTGCACCCGGACTGAAACATACTCACTGGGTTAAATCCTTTAAAAGTTTTTGTGTTTGATCCTAAGAGGCCAGTGAATTGGGTATTATGATCTCTCTTTTTACAGACCAGGAAACTAAGGCAAAGTAAGTAACTTGCTTGACTCAGGTTGCACGACCAGAAATAGCTGAGATGGGATCTGAGCTCAGGCTGTTCAACCTTAGGCCACATCCTGCCGAGCCAGTAGAGTTGGACCTTGGGCCAAAGCCCTTTGGCTTTGGGAGTATCTAAAGACATAATAGTACACCTACAGATTAAATTCCCATTTGATTAAGAAAGCTTGATTTGAATTCTAGATGTAAAAAAGAAGAGCAGAAACAATAGAGGTGGTGCAAAGTTCCAGAAATGCTTGTGGCCACCCTTGAACTGTATTTGGGCTTTGGAGGTCATTTCTCAAGCCAGAATTTTTCCAGGCCCACCCTATAGACTGATTTTAAGTAGGCTCTATCCTTAAACAACATGAGACTGCAATCCTCTGGCATTTGTAAACATGGCATGTCTCTGTGATGAGCTTGATATATACTCTTTTCTCCCCACCATGTCTGTTCCACTCATTCAGTTTCTTCCCACCACTGTGGCCCTGATTTCACAGTGTGACTCCCATATTTCTGTTTTTGTGGTCAGGATTTCCCTGCTACAGACTGAGCATCACTGTGACAGGAAAGCCTTTCTTCGACCTTCTCTATAGAAAGTGCTGTGGCCTGGAGTTGCTCTGAGTGTATGAATGGCCTTGCTGAGGGGATACAGCTGGGCTTGAGGACTGGGGCAAGAATGGCAGCCTACACCCCAGGGAGGTTTTCATCCTGACCATTAGTGGGACATAGATCATGTAGGCTTATGGAAGATGAAAATGGCCCAGCAGGCCAATGCGATGTGGACATGAAACCTGAGGAGTTGCCATAAAGATTTTAACTGGTTTTAGCACTTGAGACTTCACAGTAAGTTCTATGAGGTGTTTCATGATATACCTTGGCTGGAAGGCTTTATACCACAGGTCTCAAACACAAGGCCTACGGGCAGAATCCAGCCTCCACCTTGTTTCTATCTGGTGGCAGTGGCAAGCTCCTTGCCACTAGTTAAGGAGTAGTTAACATTTATAGAGACCTAAAATTACATTCAGCCCTTTGAAGGCAACTGTGAGGCAGACGTGGCCTCTGGTAAAAATGAGTTTGGCATCCCTGCTTTACACCATTAGAACAGATTTAGATTGGTGGTCAAAGTTGCTTATTTTATTATGTATGCATGTACCATCTATCTGTTATCTATCTATCTATCTATCCATCTATCTATCTATGTATCATTTGCATACCTCTCCACACCTTTCTAAACCCATCTTCCTAATGTTCTCCAGGTCCATCGATGCTGTGCTAAGTGAAGTAAACCAGTTGGAGAAGGATAAGCACCATATGATTTCCCTCATATGTGAAGCCTAATGAACAAACTGAACTAACAAGCAGCATGGGTACAGATTGGTAGATGAAGACCAGGCTGAGAGTTCTGGGGTGGGGGTTGAGCAAAAAGGAAAAAGGACTCATGGACATGGACAACAGTATGGTGATTGTGGGGGAGAGATGGGTGTAAGGGGGACAAATGGTAATGGAAATAGTACAATAAAAAATAAACTATTAAAAATGAAAAAAATCCAATCTTCCTAGAAGCAGCCAACGTGATACATTCTGAGAAGGAGTGGTATCTTAAATACTGCCATGGACATCAAAGTCCCAGTATCCATGACAAAAATGGGAATGTGATACCAGTTGGACTTGGAACTGTGTGAGTCTATATATTTTGTCCACTGGCCTGTTGGGCTAAGAAGTCAGGTACTTTGTCCCCTGGTATTTGCTGAATAAGTCAGGTACTTTGTCCCCTGGTATCTGCTGAATACCATGCACCCGGGCACAGAAATGCTTGATACTGTTTTTGAATGAATAGAAAAGATAGTCCTAGAGGCTGCTAATCTGATTACAGCAGCAGCTGAAATAGCGTCTCTGCAACTTTGAGACCAAATGGTACAAGACTGCTCTCTCTATTTCTCTACCAGTGATATCTTATGTTCTAATATTCTAAGCCTTAGGTGTCTAAATAAAGGTGTCAGGAATACATCTTTAATTTCTGTTGTTTTTCTGAGCTTCTTCAAGTGATCTAATCTTTCTGTGGCCATTTCTCTGAACATGGAATGAGACTAGACTAGAGCAACCACCTCAAATAGTAACTTAAAATTCCAAAATGCAATATAAAGAGATTGCAGGGAGTGGCTCAAAGTAAACCTCAGGATGACTGCTTTTTGGAATATTGATAAATCATCTATATTAATAGGTGCTGCCTTGTGATAAGATGCTTGGGTTCCATGGTCATACCTGGGTTCAAATGCAGACTTAATTTTTTGAGGCTCTGTACCCTGTTATAGGGGAATGCAGCATTCAGGACTTGCCTGTGGGGCCACACACAGTAAGAGCACTTTGATTTTTATGTTAATTTTCCGGTTTAGTTTGCCACTTGCTTGCTTGCTCTGGGGCATTCACAGTCTCTGTTCTTTATTGTTAAAGTTTGGCTTCTAAAAGTCAACATCTGTTTTGGAATCCAATGTTTCCCAATTGTTTGAGATTATTACTCCTCTCTTTTATTTATTTATTTATTTATTTATTTATTTATTTATTTATTTATTTATTTATTTATTTATATTTTTACTTCCAAAATCTACAAATGTCAAATATCTTAAAGCCATTTATTTATAACGTTTTCCTCCAAACTTCATGGGCTTTTCCCTGAAGGAATGCATTTTCAAAGACCGTATTTCAGAAGCCTTAGATCTTCATCTATTGTTCCTGACCTTTTTGGCTCATGTAACCTTCTGGCTCAAGTCTTGGGTTATAAAATATTTTTTTTAAATCCTCACCTGGGGACATTTTTTCATTGCGAAAAATGAGAGGAAGGAAGAGAGGAGCACCAATCAGCTGACTCCCGCATGTGCCCCAACCAGGAATTAAACCCAAAATCCTTTGGTTACGGGACAGTGCTCCAACCAACTAAGCCACAGGGGCCAGGGCTATGCAATTGTTAATGTGAATTAATAGGCACTGGCTAGATAGACCCTTCCTCCCTGAGATGTTCCTGTGTTTCTTGCTGGCCTACGTGGGTTTGTAGCGGGTAAGGAGCAGCAGTGCTGTGGGAGGAAGCCACCCGGAAAGCCAGGGCTCCCTGCCACACGTCCCTGGTACAATTCTTTGTCACCTCTTAACGCTCTGAAGGGAGTTTTAAATTGGATGCAACATTCTCCCCTTGTGACCTTTGTGAGCTAAGGGAAAACAGAACCCCTAAGTACAGGAGTGGAAGGAAAATAGGAAAGTGGCAGAGTTCTGTCTGTGAAGGAGGAAAAATGAAAGGTTTTAAAATCATCACATTAAAAAAATAAATTTAATCTATGAGTTTGCTTCTGCTTTGTTTACTCATTTATTTTGTCTTTTAGATTCTACATGTAAATGAAATCATGTAGTATTTGTCCTTCTGACATTTCATTTAGCATAATTTCCTCTAGGTCCACCCATGTTATTGCACACAGTGACTTTCATTGAAAAAAATTTTTTTAATTATAAAAAGGTAAATATGCAAATGCTCATGGAATATAGTTTCCACGAGCTTTCTTGAACATACTGCTAGAGGAAGACTGTCAGCCAAACAAATGATAGATGGAGACGTTATGGTAAAAGAGAGATAATATGTTTTAACTCTATTTAATGAAGTAAAATCTAAAACATCTCCAGGGATTCTGATTTCAGGAAAAATTTTAAACAACATACCCCTGAAAATGTAGAAGAGATGATCAGAAAGAACACTACTTGAAGGCGAAGGAAAAGAAAAGGTAGAAGGCAGGGTATGCAGGACCGTTTCCTCATCTGTTAATTTCTGAGAGGCAGAAGAGATTATAAACAGCTGTGTTTAAGGTAGAAGGGTAAACAATACAAGATATGTATTCAGTTAAGATGAAATGGTGGAAGAGAAAGAAAGAAATTGTGGAAGGTTGAAAACATAACAGTTTCATATTACTCATAGTCTTAAATTGGTTGTGAAAGGAACCATTAAAACAAAACACAAAGCAAACCACAAGTCTCCAGTAGAAATCAAACAGAAAAAGGAACATAGAAACCATACAGTGAAAAGATTTGTTAAAAACACAACATAAAATATGATGAGGGGAGCTAAGAACAATCTGGAAAATCAATCATTGTATTTGATTAAGTCAGGTAATAAACAAAACACAAGCATATATTGAATATGACTCAGAGAAAATGAAACATGCAGTGGTTATGATTTTAATCCACCACAGCTGAGTACACAACAACAACAACAAAAGACAATTATCATGTCTAAAAAGAAGCAATGGTTGGGATACAATCTCACACTCCAGGAAGCTTAGTTATCTGTACATGAATGGCATAGATTAATATAAAGGAAACACAGGGAGAAATATCTAGAAACACATTTAGAAAGAATTTGAGAGAGCCTTTCAGTCTATGACAGATCCAATGGGCAAAGGGAAGGATAAGGAAGACCAAAATAACAATGAATGATGGGAATCTAATTAACATCTGTTGAACTTTATAACCTGAATAAAAAATATGTTGTGGCCAAGACTGCTAGTTGTTCCCAGTATCTATTCTTCCTCATTTCCTTTAAAAGTAGAACTCTGAACTTTAGCAGAGTCTAAGTTTTCCCAGAATAAAGGTACATTTCCTAATCTCTCTGTGGCTACAATTATGTTCTGCCAGTGTGGTCAAACTAGGGTGCAACCTCTGGGAAGCATCTTCAAGTAGGACAGGTAATGGGATCTCCAGACTTCTTTCTGGTTGTTTTAAAATACATAAAATTAAATACATAGGATAAAAAGAAAACCAATTATATTAAAATAGTTATCAAAATAAATTTGTGATAGAATAGCGTGTATTCATCTTTACAGCTATGTTAAAAAAAAGAAAAAAAAAGCAAGGTCCAGTGAGAAGTTCAAATAACTACCTTCATTTAAATGCCTTGGATATAAATTATATTTTGAGCTATTTGCAACAGATATGAACTGTTTACAACTTGTATGCATTAATGCCATATAGTGAGGGTACTTTTGCATCTTGCACATTCATTTCATACTGGGAGTTCTGCCTCCTTTTTGTCTGTGGAATGGAACATTTTGTCTGTCCCTTTCCCCCTCAGGCTTATGTGGAAGTCCTGCTCTTCCTTCACCCACATTCATCTCTTAGTTATGATATTATTATAAATAGATACATCTGGGAGAATATGGATCTTTTTTCTTATTGCAATTGGCTATCTTGACTTCCACTTATGGATTTGTCCATAAATCTACTAGTGGAGGAAATCAAATAATACCCAGGAATAAAGGTCTTCACATCCTGTTCACATAGATTCTTGAAACAGACAGCAAATTGGTGATGTTTAAGCATTCTGCTTATTAATCTCTGAGTCTCTTCCACTGCATTCATCAGAGTCCATTTCATTAGAAGATGAAATGCAAATTAATGTCCAATGTAATTCTGGTGCCAGACCAGATAGGCTCATGTAGGCTGAATGCTAGTGGTTACTGTGTGAAATGTCCACTTAATGACACCACTTTATCAAGACTGGAAGACACATCTGCCATGAAGGATAATGCTTGGCCCAACTTTTTTTTTTTTCTTTTGCCCAACTTCTGATTGTGGCAGTATGTTGGCTCTGGAAGCAGAAACCTGATTAAAAACGTTAATATACTAACCAATGGTCTCAATTTTATAAACTGTAAATGTTTACTCCATGTATTGTCTAAATTGGTTATATCTAATAAATAAATTCCATCCTTGTCAATTCTAAGATTGCTGGCCAAGTGTGGAACAAATTGAGTACCAAGAAGTCAAAAACAAGGGTAAAATGTCTGCAACTTGTGTCAAAGTCCATGGGTTGATGGATGGATAGAGGGAGGGAGAGATGAATAAATATGTGAGAAAGCAAGTACAGTGAAGTATTAATTGTAGAATGCAGATGGTAGGTATATAGGTGCTCACTATGAAATTCTTCCAACTTTTCTGTATGTTTGAAAAAAATTTTAAAGATTTTATTTATTTTTAGAGAGAGGGGAAAGGAGGGAGAAAGAGGAGAGAAACAGATGTGAGAGAGAAACATCGATCAGTTGCCTCTCTTATACGTCCTGACTGGGGACAGAACCCACAACCTGGGCATATGCCCTGTCTGGGAGTCCATCTGGCAACATTTTGCTCTTCACAATGACACCCAACCAACTGAGCCACATCAGTCAGGGCTGTATGTTTGAAAATTTTTCATAATAAAAAGTTGGGAGAAACAAAAAAATTTAATAATTGATGATAAAATATTGATTAAAGGGTATGTTAGTCTCTGATACTCACAGGGAGCAAGAAGAAGAGAAATCTATTATTTCTCAAAAGAATTCGAGGTAAGGAATATTGAAGAAATGAAAAAAATCACTACAGATCCAAAAGTAATAACTGATTTAGAAAATGATCATCAAATGGATGCTAAAACCATTGGGTGAAGTGCATTGGGAAACTGGATATTCACATAGCCTTGAAATCTCACCCCACCAGATTCCTTACTGATTAGAAGAGAGAGAAGTGTACCTCTATAGAAGAGTGGTCTGCTCAGCACCACCCTCACCTGGTCATTATCAATAGAGGAGTTTAATTCCTCCAGGTGCACATATGTATATATTTTTATATATTTTTTACATGTGAAGTTTTTAGAGCTTGGAGCTAGCTGAAAGTCACATGAAAGTAGAATTGTACACTCTATGACATCACTGACCTTCTCCTGCTGGGTTGACTTTCTTATTGTAGCTTTTGATATTTGTGTTGATCATTTGTGTTTGATAAGGTGTGATTCTTTAAGTCTGGCTCTAATTTCCTGTTATTGTTTCTTACCTTTCTTTGACTTAGTCTGACTTGTTTATTTATTTATATTTAGAAGGGAAGGGAAGGGAAGGAGAGAAATATCAATGTATGGTTGCTTCTCGTGTGTCCTCTGCTGGGAACTGGCCCCTGCTAGGAACTGGCCTGCAACCCAGGCATGTGCCTTGACTGAGAATCGAACCATGATCTTTTGGTTCACATGCCTGCGCTCAATCCATTGAGCTACACCAGCCAGGGCTTAGTCTGACTTGTTTAAATAGAGAGAATACTTCCCTAAGAATTTCTA